CTAATTTCTGCAATAAGCACATGCTTTTGTTGATCATGGGTCAATAAATGTCTAGACTTGAAGCATGTCTAATTCTTTTGTTCCTGATTCTCTGCTACACCATCTGCCTAGAAAGTTTAATAAGAAGAAACTGCTTGGGAGCACAAGTGAGGTTGATGCTGTGATACTTGATGAGTCTTAATTGCCCCCTGCAGTAGTTAATTTGCATGATACAGCAGTTGAACTAAGCAAGAAAATGTGAGTAGTGTGAAAGATGAAAGATCATATAAAAAAGTAGAGAGGAAAATAGCAGTGATCACAAGTCCAAAGTATTAGCCATTAATCTGTGTTTGATAAATTCTACCCCCTGCCATTTATTCAGACTTGCTTTGATATTAATGGATGTAGATGACTTCCTTATGTTTTGGCTCAACAGTGATGTCATCAGCCTGTGAGGAGCCTGTGAGGAGATGGATTTATTAGGGCTTAGCAAACACATACTGTAGGAGGTGGGGGTCAGAAAAACAAGAGTTGACTTACTTAGATCCAAATTCTGTAATGTGGTTTCTGTCAGTGCCTGGTTGTGCAGCCCATTTCTTTTTGCTGAAAGATGATAGTGGCTCAAATGGCTCTTTGCCAAAAATAAGGCAAAAAGGGTGTAATTCATTCTACATTTAATGGATAGTGAGAAGACCAATGCATGTTCACTCATGAAAGTATTTCCTAAGTTGCTCTCTGGGCCCACAATTTACTGCCGTTATTTTTGTAAGTGAATTTATCCATCAGAAGAACCTTAAAGTTAAGCCTCTCTTCCGCCCTCTTTAAAGTATCTTGGCTCCACTGTTATTAGGCTCCTGTATAAAACTGATTCACATTTCACATCATTCTAGATGTGCAGTAAAGTAATAAAAGAAATACATTAGAGTGGAAGTTTCCTTTTTTCACAGCAGTCTCAAACAAAACTACTTTTCCCTTAAATATAGAACCTTAAAATCAGTTTCTATTAAAGCATTTTAATTTGTTCATATAACTGTAAAGTTCAAGATGGTTTTCACAAATTACTCTGATAAGCATCTCTTAACTTCTTATATAGATTCATGGGGCACACAGAGAAGATCATAGCAACCTAAATGGCTCTTCTAGTAGAAGAAAATGGTAACAGAGAAATTTTCCGCTGCGTTAATGGCAAGACATCAGAACCATAATATGCACAGGTTGTTAGAGCACAGTCTTTTAAAAAAAATGTTTGTAGCTAATTGATCTGAAATCCTCCGATCAATGAGCTGTTAACAGCCGAATGGGCTCAATGCCCTCTTGTTAGTGACTTTCTTATGTTTTGTTTATTATGTTTTCTATAACCATCTCTGGATTCATTTCCTTGTTAATCTATCTTCCCACTTTAAATGTCAGCTCACTCCTGCATGCCATGACCGAGTCAATTTGAAAGTGTCTCATTCTTCATTCCTCTTATCTCCCTCAAAACGTACAGTAACCAATGGATTTATTAGTCCCTTGCTTCTGAACTGAAGTGGTTTGCTAATTTGTTGAACTGCACTTCTTTGCCAGTGGTAAATGTTTACTCTCTGAAGTTTATTAAATGCCCACATATACTAGTTAAAGGAAGTTGGTGTGAAAAAAACACTCAGACAGGTGATGATATTTACAGACTGCAGCTCTATTTTTTATATTTCTGTTCAATAGAGATTTGGCCTAACCTGCTTAGCTGACTTCCAGCCTCTTGGCTATAGGATGAGGAGGCTGGGAGCCCACCACGCAGGTGGAGATGGGGTGGAGGAGGGATGTATGAGATGAATGGAGAACACAATCAGAATCGCTTTTATTTGCCAGTACATGTCAGGTACGGCACTTTGCCTTGGTACATTAGGAACCTGCTCAACACAAAACCCACACAGGTGCAAAAGGAGCATTAACATTACTGACATAGTTAAATTGGACAATATACAAAAGATGGGGCAGTCACAACACAGTCACAATACGTGCTCACAGTACGGAACATGTAGACATTACAGTATATATAAGACACAGGCAGGTTCACATTTTACAGGACAGTGCAAATATACGAACAATAGACATTATAGGCAAGTTCAGACTGTGCGAAAGTATGGTCTGAGGAGTGAGGTGCAACTATGTAAACATGTTGGGAAGACGCAACTGTTCTTAAGCGTAAGATATACAAGATGTATGAACTAAGCAGTAAAAATAGTTCAAAGTTTTTTTCAGCTGAAATGGGGACTTGTAGGGGGAGGATGCTGGTTAAGCAAGGATATGGCATTGGGAAAGAAACTGTCCAGGTGTCTGTTGGTTTTCGTTTTGATTGCTTTAAAATGTTTTTCCGGAGGGAAGCTTTTGAAATAAATGATGACCAGGGTGGGAGGGATCTGCAGCAATCTTGGTGGCCTGATTCACTGCTCTAGATGTGTAAAGCATGGTGAGGGATGGAAGATTGCAGCCAATCACTTTCTCAGCACACTTGATAATGCACTGCAATTGGTTTTTGGACTGTGCAGTAGCGGAGCCAAACCAGACGATGATAGAAGAAGTAATCACACTTTCAATAACAGGTCTGGAGAAAAGGCAGAAATATAGAATTTGTAGTTTTTAAATGTGAGGAAATGATGACAGTAATGTCGGCGATTTAGGAAAGAAGTGGCCGATTGAATTTGGCTGCTGTCACCCCATCAGAACCTTCCTCCTTATAAGCTCCATGTGAAAATGTGTCCTGAACCCATCCTGTGATTCTCCTCCTCGGTTGTACTTTGACCCGGTTGTACAGAGCGAACAGTACAGGCCACACCAAACAAATTTTGGCACTTGGCAAAATGGCTTGGGCACATTTCGGCACCAGCGGCGTGTCTCCTGTGGTTAGTCCCCTCTCTGACACGTTTTCTGGAAATACAGGGTGACACCGAGGATTTTGACCAGAATGTTAAACAGCAGCTGATTATTTAAACCTGACAGGCATGATAAAGAGGAGCCGTGCCTCTCTGGCTGGGAGACAGACAGGAGCTGAATGAGAATGCAGCTAAGAAAGGCTTTTCAATACCCTGGAGAAGGCAGGGATTTGTACTGGAGATGGTGGCTGTAATTTGGGCTGGAGTTCTCCCCTTGTGTGCTAAATTAGACTGTCGCAATTATGTTTTTCTTATAGTTATAACACAAGTACTTGCTCCTAAACCCCCACCTCCCTCCCCCTTAGAAAACACATTGCAAGTCTGTTCCTTTCCCTTCAAATAGAACCCTAGATTTTGCCATTCTCAAGTCAAGCTGTAATGCCTATAGCGTACAGGAAAGCATCTGTTGTAATGGGCAATACTTTAATTGTTAAAATGATTGGACAAACTTTCACCACAGAGCGATGATATTGAATAAGAACAAAAGAGATGCAGGCAGGGTGAGCACAAAATATTGCAGAACCACTTCAGGGAAAGGGAGGTCTCGGGGAGAACAACACATTAGCTGAATTCTGCTCACACCAGGGAGCGTGCTTCCTGCATGACTCCAGAGAGGGCTGCTGGTAACCCCTGCTGTGTCCAAACACATCGCTTCATGGAGACCTTAACTGAAATTCAGGAGGGATGACGACAAACGAGCCATTTTCACCCTGGCTGTTCTAAATCGTAATCATTTTTGATCTCATTCCCCAAAAGCTTCAAATAACATAAATCAGCTCTTCTTTTTGCACTCAACCCCTGCTTTCCTGCCCCACGCTATTTCCTCCTGGTTGATAGCTGCCTCTGGTTGAACTCTTCACTCTGCACTGGGTTCCAGCTTCTTCGTCCTGTGACCAGGGGTTGAGCTGTACCTTGTTGTACCGAATTACTCAAACATCCACAAATGCATGTAATTCTTGGGTGCTGTTATTCCTCGCCAGCTGCCACATACTGGCTCTGTTTATGGATGAGCACTGCTGGCTTGTTCTCTTTAGCAACATTTCAGCTTTGGCTCAAGTCGTTCACAATACTGCCATGTTCAGTGCAGTGACGCCGTGAAGATGGGACCCAATCTCATCACACCAGGTGACATATTCAGCAGTTTTTTGCTTGTTTTGATTTATTTTGCTCTCTCTTCTGTGTCCATTTAATGTTTTTTACTCTTCTGTGTCGAAGAGATAATAAACTATATCATACGGAATTTCCACCTGACAAGAATAACAGAGATCTAAACTGCTCTAAGATGTGAAAGACAAATACTAGCCAGATACAATTATAATAACTTCCAGACAGACAATTAATATCAATTACTGTTCCAAACCACCTGACAATGAAACCTCGATTGAAATTAACAAGTTGTCAGTGCGGGTTATTATAATTGGCCCCATCCTTGTCCCTGGTTATATTGAAAAGGAAATGTCTTTGAACAGGTTCAGGATTCCCTGGGTAACCACAACATGCCCTGATTTTGAATTGTTACAGGTGAATGATTTCTCTCTCCATCACGTTTTTAAAATGGTCTGTGATAAAATCCTGCTTTTACGTGATCATAAATGCTCTGATCCCAAAGAACTATCTGCAAAACCTGAGTCTTAGCTAAGTGATTGCCCAGCTTAAATGGAGCGGTTAAACATTTGGAAACGTCTCTAAAACTAAACTGTTGACACTGTTGCCCTGATTTTCTTTAGCAGTTTGTTGATTACTGCAGTGAACCTCTTGGATGATGTCATCATAATAAATCATCTTAACACTTTCAAAAGCACTTCTTTGGACACTCAACTAATGGGGATCCCCTCCACCGCCAATGTGTAGCCCCTACCTGGATGATGCGACGGCAGCCAGAGTGCACCAGTCCACTCCCCACACACCAGCTCTCAGTGGGGAGGAGAGCAGAGTGATATATTCATAGATCAGGAGAGCTATCGGAACTGAAGAGGGAGTCAGGGTCCAGTATTGCCAGCCTCTGTCCTGCCCTGTGTGTAATTCAGCAGAGGCTGTGAAGCCCAGAGGTGACGGCCGTGCTCCCTCTTCATGCTGTCTCGCGCTCTCCCCCTCCCCCTGTTTCTGCAGAACCCGTTCCACCTGCAGATGCTGACCCGGAGCCCCCCCTCCGCCCTGGCGGAGCTGCTGCTGACGGTGCTGCAGACCAGCGGCTGGCAGGAGGGCACCACGGTCCTGTGCCGCGGCTGGGAGCAGACGGGCGTGCTGGAGGTGCTGCAGCTGCAGAGCCGGCCGGGGGCCCGCTGGCACCTGCGGGCGGCGCTCAACCTGACGGGCACCGCGGAGGAGGAGGAGGGCGCGGTGGCGCACTTCCTGTCCCTGCACTTCCGCCAAACCAAGCCCCCCCCGGCCTCGGTGCTGCTGTTCGGCGCCGACCCCCAGTGCGCCGCCACGGTCCTCAGCAGTGCTCAGGACCTCGGGCTGACCCTGCCCACCGTACACTGGCTCCTGGGGTACCCGCTGAGCCCCGACGCCCTCCACACCATCGGGCTGCCCCTCGGCCTGCTGGCCTACGGGGAGGTTGACCGGAAACCGCTGGACTTCTACATTATCGATGCCTTGGAGCTCATTGGGAGAGCAGTGTCCGCCGCCACGAGACTCCGCCCAGAGCTTGCCCTCATCCAGGACATGGTCAACTGCTATGACAAGACTGGGAAAAAGGGGTCACTCTCCTCGGGCCAGTACTTATCCAGGTAACCTGGTGAAAATCCACATGAGCAACTGCTCTTTGAGATTAGCCAATCAGAGGAGGCTGTTTTTTGGGGGGGCGTAGGGATATACCTTTTACTGAGCTGTAGAATGTGCTGACATGATGCACCAAAGGTTCTCGTTATTTTCAAGGCAAGGACCAGAGATCATTTTGACAAAGGCTTGACATGGGGACAACATAGCCAGAGATGTAAGAATTTGGAGTCAAGATGAACTCTGAAACATTCAGAGCATTAAGCCTTTTTTAGTGCTCTGCAACTACAAACGTAGCCATTCAAACATAACAGAATGTTCTAGCCATAGCCAGGCTTTAAACTGGAGAAGGCCTGTGGTTTTGGCTCAGGTATTTTTAGTAAAAGTCGTGGGCAGACCATGGGAAAGTAACATGAATGGGTGTCACATAGGTTTTGTTACATCTGTACAGCAGTTTTTAAATATAACTTTAAACAACAGAATGTGATTTTAAATACTTACAAGATTAAGTGTTGAATGTAAAATGACCATTTACTGTTCTTAAAATGAGAGCTTTCTGAAATGATTTGTCATAGCTCTGACACCAATGTTTTTCAGTGAGCTTTTCAGATACTTTTCATAGGAGGGTTGTCTAAGGAACATAGTGGAATATTAGAAAGCCTACAGTATATAGAAATCCTCTGTATATTGGGAAGGTTCTGTCCTACAACATATCAGTTCTTTGGTATTTATGGTAAAGAGATCACTCACTGTTTTTTGTACTTTTGTCTTCTCATCCACAGGCAGTTCAAGGCTGTGTGCCTTGCAGTTATGCAAAGCACTCTCTATGTATTTATCACGGCCTGCTATTCTCCTGTGATCTATAGGAACATTACATGCTGTACAAAACATCAATTTACCACTTTGGGTAAATGTTCCCTTTGGGTAAATCTTGCTTGTCTCCTTGGCAGCTATATTCGCCATGCTGCTCCTCATTGTGCTTGGCATTGCAATGTCTTCGTTAATGCAATGATGCCCGCTTCTGACATATTACTCTGCTCAGTTACAGCACAACTGATTGGCTCAGCAAAAGCGTTGCAGAAAGATGGTTTTCCCGTAGCTGTACATCTGATTTAGAGGGAAATAAGAGTGTTATCTCAGATCTAATACATTAGTTGTTTTTTCAGCAATTTACAGACATCTCTTAAAATTGTAGAATCAATGACCGCGGTGCCAGAATCATAGCACTAATCATGAGTTATGCTCAGCTGAATTCCCTGTACTGTGAAGGGTTCTTATCACAAGAGCTGGAAGTATATTTCATTTGCTTCTTTCTCCTTCTTAGAGGGCAATGCATGCAAATACTGCAGTACCTGAGAGCATTAGAGTGAGACATTCAAATGACTGAACACTACCAATTATTATAAAAGAATAGGCATAGATCCAGCACATTGTAGCAGTGATCTGGTTTAATTGCCTTTAACAGAGACATGAGAAACATTTAAAAATGATAGAGTGGATATACTGTAACTGACGTTATATTCTTATGCAGTGCATTCTTCATGCAAATTATATCTTGATCCAAAACAGAAAATTCTGATTGATTAACCTTTGGCAGAAAATGAGCCATTTTCCTCTAAAACTAAATGAGTAATATAAAACTGTAAAAAAGAAACACATAATAGGAAGCCCTATAAAGATGTGCTATTGTACAGCTTAAACAAGACCTGGTATGCACTGGTCCCAAGCAGTATTTCATTATTGTGTTTGGAGTCTTGAACAAATGGGGAACCAGCAGTGAACATCAGCCAGCACTGTAGAGACATTATTACTGGTTGTGGACAGGTTATTTCTTGCACAGAGAATAAATAGGACATTGCTTTTAAGTAATTACGACCTGCTTTCCAATTAAACAGCTGCACTAACCTTTCAAAGTAATGGCATTTCACTCACTGTGGAGCTAACTATAGGTAGGACAGATTAAATTAATGATCTAAAGGCTCAGGCCAAATTGCTTTATTTTTCTTCTTTCTTTTTTATGCTTTTTATACAAAGGTTCAGCTGTGATCATGTTGTGCGTATTATTTATTTACAATCTACCAACATTTTTCACCTTCTTAAAATCTGTGCTTGGACCAAATAAAAAGTCAATTAGCATTTCAGCGAGCGCCCTACACATCACACAGGTACCAGAATAGTTCCATAGCAGTGAGCTGCTTTAGTGTAAATAGCTTAGAGACCAAATATATGCTCATTTATAAAGGCAACGTTCACAGTTAGTAAAGGTTCTTGGACTTTTGCATAATAGTTATATTCTTTCAGATGGGTAGCTGCGTAATATTTTTATTCCATGCTGAAAAGAGAAGAAGTTGTGTTTTCTTTCTTTCTTTTCAGCATGGAATAAACCTATTACATAGATATATTCTTGTATATCGTCTTTGTTTAAATTAAATCTTTTTTTCTGCTCATTTGATTTTATGTTCTATTTAGAAGTTCGTAATTGATTTTGTAGAATTGTACTCCAAAGTTCATTTTCAGCCTCCTCTTGCCCGATTTAATTACATACCGAAGGAAAGGCTGCTGAGGCATCAAATCTTGTAAGAGGAGCTCTTTCTGATTAATGTGTCTGCATTGGATGCCTACTAAACTCTGACCCAGAGAGCATTCACTTACTAACCTCTTTTTCAGTAGTCCAAATTCTAATAATGAAATGAGTTGACGTGTATAAAGGATAGTGTACTTAATACTTTGGCTTTGACTCTCTCGGCTGAGGCTGTCGCTACCCCTTGACTTCTGAGGAATGAACCAGGGAGCAGCATCAACAGTGCAGTTGGGGTGGAGGGAGGAGAGCTAGAAAAGTTGTGCACCGAGTTCCGATCGGCCAGTGAGTGTTTATACATAGGAGAGAGTTAGTGGGAGATTAGAACTGACCTCCTCTCTAGGATCTGCTAAATAATACCATGAGTTAAGAAGACAAATCATGTAACTTAAATCTGCTGTTCTAAACTAATTGAATTTAAATGCATTTCTCTTTTTCTGTACATCTGTTTATCGATAAGTTCTGTAAGTCTGTTTATGAAGCTCAAATGGGCGGCTGTCCAATTTAGAAACCCTGTGCCTCTGTCCTGCAGGTTCCTGGCTAACACCTCCTTCAGCGGGCTGACGGGCCCCGTGAAGGTGCTGTCCAACGCCTCCCTGATCCTCCCCTTCCATCGATTCCACATCTGGAGCCTGCGGCGGGACGCTCTCGGGCACCCTGCCTGGGTGACGGTGGGCAGCTGGCAGGGCGGGCGCCTGGAGGTGGAGGAGCAGGGCCTGTGGCACGGGCAGTCGCCACGCCCCCAAACGGAGGCGTCGGGAGGGAGGAGAGGGGGGCGCTGGGACGGGGGGTTGCTGGGGAAGGGGAGCCGGCTGCGGGTGGTGACGCTGGTGGAGCACCCCTTTGTCTTCACCCGGGACGTGGACGAGGACGGGAGCTGCCCGGCCGGCCAGTTCTGTCTGAATCCCCGGACCAACAGCTCGGACACTCTGGACCGTCTCTTTCGGGAGCTCGGGCAGGGGAACAGCACCTTCTTGCCCGCGGATTTCCGCAAGTGCTGCTACGGATACTGCATTGACCTGTTGGAGAAGCTGGCCGAGGACCTGCACTTCGAGTTTGACCTCTACATCGTGGGCGACGGAAAATACGGGGCCTGGAAGAACGGGCGCTGGACCGGGCTCGTGGGAGACCTCCTGAGCGGGGCGGCGGACATGGCCGTCACGAGTTTCAGTATCAACTCGGCCCGCAGCAAAGTGATGGACTTCACCAGCCCCTTCTTCTCCACCAGCTTGGGCATCCTGGTGAGGAGCAAGGACACCGCTGCCCCCATCGGTGCGTTCATGTGGCCCCTGCACTGGTCCATGTGGGTGGGCATCTTCGTGTCCCTGCATGTCACCGCCCTCTTCCTCACCCTCTACGAGTGGAAGAGCCCCTTCGGTATGACCCCGCACGGACGCAACCGCATGAAGGTCTTCTCCTACTCCTCTGCCCTCAACCTGTGCTATGCCATCCTCTTCGGGCGCACTGTCTCAAGCAAGACGCCCAAGTGCTGGACAGGCCGTTTCCTCATGAACCTGTGGGCCATCTTCTGCCTGCTGGTGCTCTCCAGCTACACTGCCAACCTGGCAGCTGTCATGGTGGGCGAGAAGACCTTCGAAGAGCTCTCGGGCATCCATGATGCCAAGGTAAGTCAAGCTAAACTTGACACACTCCACCGCTGCCATAAACAGCTAGGATTCTTCTCCATAAGAGTGAAATACAAACACTTGTTTCTGCTCTCAAGTTAACTATATGAAAGTCTTTGTTTTCCCTGTTGCTCTGCAGGCACCTCCCTAAAAAAAGGTGTCTCAATCACCAGTGGTCCAGTGTGTTCCCTAAATGAGCAGCTACCAGCTCTGTAATTAATGAATCTGATGGAGACTGTGTCCACAGTTTGCCCACAGGGATAATCAAACCTCAATATGTTCAAGCAGATTTTTCATTTGTTTCTGCTTTGGCAGTGGCTCCTTAATTTGAGGTTTGTTGAACTTTTGTGTGTTTTTGGTGTGGGGTAACAATTCTGAGCACGATAAACACTGTGACCTGGATTTGACTCCAGGATGTTGTATATATAATTGCTCAGACGTCCATTGAATTAACCTCCTACACAGATACAGAAATAAAAACTATTGAGCAGATGTGATGGATAACCCACATCTTTGTTTTGATTATTTGAATGCATGGATTTTCTTTTGATGGCATTAATTGTTATGCTAATTACTAAATAAGAAAAAGGAACTAAGGGTAATTTAATTTAGGATCTGCTTTAATTTGACTGTTCATTGTTTATTGTAAAATGTTTCTTCATGACTTGAGATCAATGTGAATTGTTTACAAAACAGACCAAAGTCTTTTTTTCCCTCAGAGGAAGGCAAAACAAAGCACTTCTGATTTTTCTTTCAAATTCACATTCACACATTACCAGACTAGTCCATTTTGTACTAATCACTGTTTTGCCTAAAACCTCATTTTAACAGCTTCGCCAAAATTCTCAGCATTTTTCTTAAATAGAATAAAAGTTATGCTGTATTTTTGTAAATTATCATGTGAGACAGGGTTTCGTATTTTGCAGTGTGCAGAAAACCCACCCACTTCATATTAAATGTATTTGACCATTGTTTTACAACATGGAAAATTGAATCCCTAACCTTCACTTCACTTCACAAACGTTTCTCAATATTAAATGATAAGATATCCATCCATTTCCTTACTGATCCTTCTAATTCAGGGTCAAAGGGCAGCCAGCTGGAAAGCAACAGGCGCAAGGCAGGGTACACCCTGGATGGGACACCAGTCTATCACAGGCTGTACATAGATGCTAACCCACACATTAACACCAGGGACGAATTTCCCAGAAGCCAATTTAACCACCAGAATGTCTTTGGACTGTGGGAGGAATTATTGATGGTGTTGGTGTTCGAGTTGGCGGCCCTTCTCCCTCTGAACGTGAATGTCTTAACCAATGCACTCATACGGTAACTGGGGACACTGCATTGTCAGAGCTGCCGTAATTTGGATGTAGGATGTTAACCTATTAATTTGCCACCTGCTCGACCAGGCAGTGAGGTCGCTGGTGAGTGATGGCTGCTGTGCATGCCCCTGGTGGGCTCTGTCCACTTCAGCAGCTGATAAAATGGGTCTCTTCCTATTTGCACAATGCTCTTAGACTTGTGGGGAGGAAAAGCACCAGGATAAACGCAAGGAGGTGCCAAGGAAGTGTATTGGTTTCCTTCTGCAGTGGAACACACAGAATCGTTGGGTGACTCTCTTTGTCTCGCTCTCCGCCCCAGCTTCACCACCCCTCCCGCGGGTTCCGCTTCGGCACGGTGCGGGAGAGCAGCGCCGAAGACTACATGAAGAAGAGTTTTCCCGAGATGCACGAGTACATGAGGCGGTTCAACGAGCCCACCACTCCGGATGGTGTGGCCACGCTCAAGTAAGAGACCAAAGCATCCGCCACCCCTGCCTTCATCCGTCCACATGACACGGCTCTGGTTGCAGATGTTCTGTGAGTAACAGCACACCGGTGCAGTCAAGGTAGCTGCAATGTAATCAGCCCTCACTAATGACAGCAAACAGAGCTGGAGTAGTGCTTAGGGTTCTGGACTCCTAACTAAAACTCCTAACTTTAAGTTCAGATCCCAGGTGGTACACTGCTGCTCCACTCTTTAGCAAGATAGTTCACATGAATTGCTCAATATGAAGCCATTGATGCCTGAATTGCTCAGTATAAAGCCCCACCAAATGGGTGCAGCAGTTATTGTAAGTTACTTTGGGGAAAAGCTTCAGTGAAATAATCTAGCAGTGATAACTACTGTCTTGGGTTAAGGGATACTAAAATCTTCAGACCTCTTTCATCAGATTCTCCACTAGTAAAAGCCTTATTAGATGTCCTGTAGGTAAGGTGATTTCGGAGACACTGAAAAGTGAAAGCAATTATGAAACATAAAGTGCAGAGCACCTTCCTTGACCATCCAGAGTCATTCTAGAGGCTCCAGCCTCTAATGTTCTGTGTGGTAGTTGCTGTCTTTGACAATATTAGCTGTCAAAACTTCACCAGACCTCAGTATGAATTGTCACCTGTAGATGCTAGTCTGAAGTCAAGATACGACAAAAGCAATGTTAATTTACGTTTTCGAATACTGCTGCAATTGTTTTTATGACTCCAGGTTGAGTCATGTTGTGATAACACGTGCAAAAGGTCAGATTTGCTGAAGTGGTCTGTACATACGTCAGGAGAGTAATCAACACACAACTGCCCTGTTGTGGTAAATTGACATTAGAGTGAATATGCTCCGCATTGATGATTTGGTTTAAATTAAGATGTTGGAGGGTGAAAAGGTCTGGAAAGCCAGGGAGTGAAACAATGTCACTTCAAGGCCTTTTTTTCTCCCTGTTTTAGTTTTCCTCATATCTGTGATAGGAGTCTCTTTAACTATGAACTGGACTAAGAAGGTAATCAGGTCTGCTGCCATGGACTGTTAACCTGAAAAGCCTACAGTATGTTGTAGATCATTCATCTGATATACAGTGGGTGGCAGTTGCTGAGGTGGCAACAAAAAGCTGTAAACTATATTGCTTATATTATATTAGCATGCCAGAGGAATATAAATTTTAGTTCTGACACTAGTCGAGATTTTCAGCTGTATGCCTGGCATGTCACTGCAAATGTATTTTGCATGATTCTTTATCTTTTTTATTTTAGGTTTTTATTTTAAAGTGTTTTGAAATACTTTGATGGAAGGCAGGTTGCTAATTAAAGTTTATCATTCCTGTTAAAAAGACTTTCTTAAATGTACAGACAAACGGGGAGAATAATGGTCAGTTCTTCTGCTCAATGTACTTGTTTCGTGTTGGCAAGACTTCTGCAGAAGAGCTTGGCTGCAGTGGGCTCACAGGCTGCTCTTGTCCAGGCAAGATTACAGAGCCTTTCGATTTCAGCGCTCCCAGTCGGGGAAACAGTTTCTGTTTGTTGTAAGAATCAATGGGAGATCTGTCATAACATCAGAAATACAGGTCTGACTCTTGACTTCAGGCTGGTGAATCCACAAATCCTTAGTGAAAAACTGAGGTTCATAGGCTGCATCTACAGTTTTTGGCCAGTTTTGAACATGGTTGAGCTGAAGCTCTTTGTTTCTTCATTTGTAAGATAAAATGAAAAAGCAGCAATCATTCCTCTCATGCCTCTTTTCTTGAAAGTGCTTCTTGTTTCTGTTTTATCTATTCTGTACGAGGCGCCAATGTCTGCGCCCAGCAAAAGAAGCCAGAAATAATTTCTACTATGACAGGACTGATTCAGGCTATGAACTTTCTTTTTCTTGAAGGCCACGACTTCATTTCAAAGATCAAAATGTGACAGCCTTTTATTTATTTATTTTTGTGAATAAAATGGATTATAAGTGGATGCTTGAAAACTGTAAACATATTTTGCACTCCCAATGGGTTGGCAAGGTCAGTCTTAAAAAATAATATCTGTCAAGTCAAACAAAGTAGTTTTTTCTTACTTTTAAGTCCACTGAAATTAAGAAGCTGGCAGATTTTGTATTCACCCAACACAGTATATTTTAGGGTTGGAGTGGTTTGCATACATAGTGCTTTTAAACTTGAAATAATTTGACTTGAATTTCAAGAAGGTCTTACACTTTATCAGCTCGACTACCCATCACTTTTCTTGGTTACAGTTGTTCCAATTAAAAAGTTTCCCAACAGGAAAAAAGTGCACTGCCTCACTGGTACAGTACTCTGAGCATGTGCAACACTAAAATGTTTCCCTCAATCATTTCCTGTGAGTCATCCCTAAGGAGCCTTTCAAGAATGTGCTCCTGAAGAAGAGAACCAGGACAGCAGACCTCAGCAGAAACCATTAGAGAGAACCAATGAGAAATTAATGGTTTCAAACATAATGTGCTTAAAAGCAAATCAAGAATGTGATGAGCTACTTGTTTAACTCCTCTCCCCTGTGTGTTGAAGGACAGATCCTCCTCAGCTTGATGCCTTCATCATGGACAAGGCCCTGCTGGACTATGAGGTGTCCATTGACGCAGACTGCAAACTGCTGACTGTGGGAAAACCTTTCGCCATTGAAGGTCAGGGTCATTGTGAATCTGTGTATTACTCCCGTGAACCATCACTGAGGAATCTAAGAACCAGTGCAACACATTTTGCATTCCAGGATGCTTTTCTATACTTAATAACTCAAACACTACTCTAAGCAGTTCAGAGTGAGCCAGTCCAAAACATCGATCCACCACGCGCGCCACTGTGCCACCCCAGCCCAGATCAGCACTATATACTGTATGCAACGAATTCTAAAGACAGAAAGCATAAAGAATCTCTTTGTGCCATCACACACTTGGTTGTGAAAGTGCATGTGCATGCAGCCCCATAACGAAGGCTAGGTTTGTGATGAAGAAATCTCCTAGCATGAAAAGAACTTACACACACTCTTCCTCCAAATTAGACCAATTCTTCCTTGTCAGAGACTACCTTAAGCTTGTCATTAGCTAGGCTTGCTGATAAAGCACCAGCTCTGCATGTACGTTTTAGCTACCATTGTTGCCTTGCTACAGTATGTGATACAATTAGCAATTGGGAAGGGGACTTGTATTATAATATATGTGATGGCTGTGACAGGCTGCTTTGTGGGAAGCAGAGCAAGCTGAAGGGCTTGTTTTACAAGGGCCAATTTTTAAATTGTGTAAGGGAGGAATGTCACTTCTTGTACTGGCATTTAGCATTCCTTTCAATTCTCTCTGAGTGGCTACCTACTGTTTTTGGACACATATCCAAATTCACAATTCTGCAAGAACACAGCAGACAGGTAGGACAAAGTGTGACATTTTCTTCACATCAGAACGTGATATATCGTCTGTCTCCCATAGGGAACCCGTTTAATCCGAAAGTGTGACGAGTTTGGCTTTATTCCCTGTGTGGAATAAGCAAGCAAACAAAACCAACAGCCGAGCTCATGGGAAGATTAAGAGTGAATTTCTGCGAAGAAAGCTTTGCTCTATATCATCAGTCTTCTGTGGGCTCGTGCTTGTCTTCTTGCCTTGACCTCTAGCTATGCCTCCAGTGCGATACAGTAATTGCAGTGTGCTTCAATTAAGCTTCTCCTACCTCTTTTCTCTCTTTACTAATTAAGTCTCATTTTTTGTTCTGGACTTGCTTCTCTTTCCATTCAGTCTCAACGATGTCTTCCTGCTCAAGCTCGCTCAGTCCCATCTGCGGCTTCCCTGGTCCAGAAAATTGGAACAATTTTCATAATTAGATACAATAGAGGAGTTCAAATCCTTTGTAGTCGGATAAAAAAAGGATAAAATAAATGTAACCATGGCCAATTTCTGTACGTCCCCAGGAATTTAAGATTCATTTGTCCCCATGTATCACTGTACAACATTAAAAGGAGATTGAACTGACAAGTTTCTCTTCTGAAAAGCTGGAGATAGGATTAAAAAAAATCCTTTAATTTTACTTCAAACTGCTTTTGCATTCTTACTGAATTTCATTAGCTTATGTCTCTCTGTAAAGCTACTCGTCCTGTTTTAATAGGACTTTTTTGTCATTCCATTTTATGTTCAGGTTGACTCTACCTTAGTTGTGCTCCTTTCACAGATCTGGTCTTATGAACGCCATATTTAATGAAAATGTGGGTTTTAGTTACACAAATGAAAAGATCCTACAAATGACTGATTGTTAAAAGTGTCAACCGCTGTAACTGCATAATTTCAAAACCATCCTGGGTACAATAAACCTCTATATTATTACATGCTGGAAAACAAACCCACAGTTATGTAGTATTACAGTATAATGTCATGAGATAAATACAATCCATTATGAACACTGTGTACTTGAAATTGCTTTATCTCCATGAGCGATTCTGAGCACAAATTTGTCTTGGACAATTGTGATTCTAAAACTTTTTAAGGAAATGAACTTGTCAGAAGGGACAGTATTTGCTTTTCCATATGTATGCTGTTATATGACCAAATCAAAAAAGGCTAACATACTGTATCTGTGAAACTCTTTTGGGACAGTTAGTGCCAATTTAATGGACAAGAATGGAGAAAGGTGATGAGTGATGTTTGGGTCTGTCTCAAACCTATTATAAGCCTTCTTCATGTGGATGAAAATAGCAAGTACAGATTTGTTTGTTCTGTTGATCCAGATGCATCAGATGATTAAGTTCAGTTTTATTTCACAATTTGTGCACCAGGCTCATTCTGATGAAATCTGCAGCGTTGCACTGCCTCTCCAATCTGTCACATACTGCAGCTTAGGAGAGCAGGTTGTGAGTGACAAACAAGAAAAAAGGCCCTGCCAACACATTGATGGAATGAGATCAGTTCTTGTTTTCCTGAAGGTCCACAGCCCCTAAACAACATCACCTATCACATCCAGTTACCCTTAGGTCAGAGTGGGTCGTTTTCTATTATACATGAACACTTCTGCTTCAAAGCACATTTATCATGTACAGTCAGTTTTTTTGATGATGGATGTTTGTAACCCTAGTCTGTTCCTTCTTTCTTGCTCGCAATTTCCTACAATTTATATATTTCTTAATTATCACATTTCAGCTGTCCTATGATTGATGTATCAGTGAGAAGAGAAGTCAAAAGCGAGGTGACTTTTTACCCTCTCCAGCAGTCTGATTCAGGACAGGAGTTTTGAATTTGCTATAAATCGCAAAGATATTAGAATGTCATGACCAGGAATGAATTGATACTCTGGTTGTGAAGATCTAAGAAAATACTTTTGGGGCCAGTATCTCCAGGATTGGTTGTGCAAGTAATGTAACTTTTTGAATTTATTTAAATAAACATTGATCAAATGCAAGATCTTCACCATTTCCATTTACTGTGTTCGGTGACACGTGTCTTGCAGTGCACTGCAAAGGAAAACATCCTTATGAGGGACTGGGCAGGTAAGTCAGGGCTGCCAGTGTTGATTTTAGTTATCACCTGGATACCTGAATAGTAAAACCATTGCATTTATCTTAAAGATATGCAGACAGTGACTGGGGAGAGGTTCAGACTGTGGGTGGGTTTGTTCTGGTAAGCGTTTTTAAGACCAGTCTCTCTGTTTGTCCCAGGTTATGGAATCGGCCTGCCCCAGAACTCGCCGCTAACTTCCAACGTGTCAGAGTTCATCAGCCGCTACAAGTCGGATGGCTTCATGGACATGCTGCACGACAAGTGGTACAAGGTGGTTCCCTGTGGGAAGAGGGTCTTCGCCGTCACAGAGGTGAGCTCTGAGCTGAGGAAGAGCAAAGAGCAACCACAGCTCACAATGGTCCCACACAAGGCCCAGGTCCTGCCACAAGCCTGGGACTGGAGCCCAGGCCTGGGTCAAGCCCCAGTTCCAGGCCTTAGCAGTGTCAATCTTAGACAAGGTCAAATGCAAAGTGCTCCACAGAAAAACTCCAGTTAGAGATTTTCACCTTTTTAACTCCTTTCACCTGACAAGGAGGCCATGCATTTAATCTCACAAATTTCACTGTGTACTGGCAAATGTGTACCTTTGGGACACCTGACTAAAAATGAAAGTACAGTTCACACAATGCATCAAAGACTTCTGGAACAAGCAGCCAGTCAGATTCTAACTAGTGTGTGAATTCCATACCATATCTCGGCGAACCTTCTGTCACAGATATCAGCAGAGAAATGCTTTCCAGTGTTTGGCTGAGTGTCAGCAGCTTTCTTTAGTCTTTTAGGACCGTTGAAGCTGGTGACTCATCTGAGGGTTGATTGCTGCATCTTCCAACTGGAAGAGCCATGCAAGGAACATCAAGAGCCTTTCTTTCTAAGGAGCGATAAGCTGACAATTTGGGCCTCATCCGGATTTTCTTCTGGAGAATTCTTGTTGAGACACCAGGAAAAGTTTTTTTTTATGCACTTACTCAACATGAACTGAGATCTGGTGTCAGTAGATGAAGTAAATGATCTCTGGGCCTTTAACAGGGCCGGGATGTCTGTACTGACAGCTTCATCACGCTTCCAATTGCCCCAACTGCTGCACAAGGCTCTGACATGTGTAATTAATCTAATCAAACAATGTTATTTCTGCTCCACTGCTCCGACAGGCCTGTCTCTCACGAGATATCAACCAACAAGACAGTCTCATCTGTGTACCTACTAGCTCAAACTACCTGTGCGGGTTTCTGCAGAGTCTATGAAGCTCAAACAGATTGAGACAAACATGCACTGGATTATCAAATATTTGACTTACATTTGCAGGGAAGCCATCCTCACTGTAAAAGAATAAACATAGGGGACCGGAAGAGAGGAATACCATCTGTTCACATTGCTCTTCCACGTTCCCAGAGTCCTAATTACGGAATTATCACCTGGAAAGATGGCTAAGAACAGAACAAAGCATAATGCTGATTGGGAAATGACATTTCTGGGCTTCATCACAACTACTGCTACTGGAGATGCTACAAGAAAGAGTCCATTTACTTATCGATTGGTGTCACATAGTAAATCTAATATTAGTATTTCATTTAGAAAGTGCTGGTACTGATTGTGTCTTGCTAAAGCTCACTGCAGATATCAAAAGGAAAACAGCTTAAAAATTAGAAGACTGACATCTTTTTGGCACGGGTCAGAAAATAAATCAAAATGAAGCACCAGTGCATTAAAGAGAATAGACTTTGAAGGCAAGACAAGATTATGTCTTAAGCTATAGTACTCCAAAATTACCTTACTAGAAGACAAACGGTTTAGAGATTGATAAGTGCGATTGGTCTGCTTTTTCTTTTGGTACAATAAAACGTGATTTCAGAAAATGAAGTTAGCCTTGGATCACAAAGGTGGAGTGTTTTCCCTGTAGAGGTGGGAGGGAGAAGCAGTAATGAAATAAGTAATTCTTTTCCGAATGTTGTTTCATATCACAGCCACCACACAGTCTATCACAGACTTGGCACAGTCTCTCACTCTGCCTTGGCTGTGCCCCAGAATTAAATGGCAGGGAGACTTTAGGTGAGAGGAAAGAGGAAATTCTCTCTCTGCTGGCTGGCACCATGCCTTGTCTTAGCATTTGCGAAAACATAACATAGGTCTGTTCGTACCATAGACACAAATGCCAGCAGCCATATCACCCTGCAACTCACAGCTGGCAGCCCAATGAGGTTCAGCAGGGTGGCCAGTACCTGGATGGGAGACCTCCTGGGAAAGCTAAGGTTGCTGCTGGAAGAGGCATTACAGGGGCCGGAAGGGGGCACTCACCCTGCAGTCTTTGTGTGTCCTAATGTCCCAGTATAGAGATATAAAACCGAGGTCCTGACTCTCTGTGGTCATTAAAAATTCCAGGGTGTTTCTCGAAAAGAGTAGGGGTGTAACCCCGGCATCCTGGCCAAATTTGTCCCTGGTCTTTACCAATCATGGCCTCCTAATAATCCCCATCTTTGAACTGGCTTCATCACTCTGTTCTCCCCACTGAGAGCTGGTATGTGGGGAGCATACTGGTGCACTCTGGCTGCTGCTGCATAATCCAGGTGGGTGTACTGGTGGAGGAGGGAGTCCCCATTACCTGTAAAGCACTTTGTGTGGACTGTCCAGAAAGGCACTATATATGTGTAAAGGATTAGTATTATTTTTTCAATTATTATTAAAAGCTAATTTGGAATAATGGAGGAAATGTAGAACTCACGTGTTTAATGAGCCCCTCAGTTTGTGGTCTTTTTCACTGCAATGAAAATCATCTTAACTGTAGGAAAACTGTCTGTCTAAATATCCCATTCTGTGGTGCTGGAGTTTAAAACTTCCCCAGAAAGGCATAATCCACAATCTCAATCCTCAGTTTTCAATAACACCAGCTGCCTTTTTAATTTGTATTAATTCTGTCCAGCAGCATTCAATGTATTTATCTACCAGGCCTGCTCTAGGGAGTGCAGGATTCCTTCTGCTTTGAGAACTTTCCATTTCAAGAAACAAAATAAGTAACATAGGTTTCGGAGTGGAGACAGCTTTGCACTGCCATCTAAAGTGAACATGAAGGAAAAGACTCTGCATGACAGCAGTGGCTTGTTCATCTCCTGTGCCCATATTATCACAGAACACAGAATGAAACTACTCAACTTCTGTTTTCTTTGTTAAATGATTTTGAGAATAAGAATCTCGGTGTTGGCTGGTTCTCCTTCTTTTTCAGTTCTCTGTATTTGTAACTGCCCTGAAAGCTGTACAATCAACATTAATTTCTCAGCTGAATCTCCTCATGAGCCTCTTTCAAAATAGTGGGTAACAGTCCACTGCTGGGAATGCTGTGGATGTAGTCCTGGTGTGTTATCCCTCTGTAATTTCCTTTTCTAGTGATGAAAAAAATGGAAAGTAAAACAGGAGACAAGATTAGGTCAGTTAACAAAGCCTGCTATTTTCTAAATAAAACATATTCTTTTTAGAAAATAGCAGGGTTAGTATGCATAGCATATTACTGTATGGTAAAATTGTATGCAGCACAGTGGAACACAGCAGGCGCTTGCTGAATGTCTTTCCCCCAAGATCATCCATGCTTAAAAACGCAAAAGAAGCCTGTTAGTAAAAGCAGGTCATTTATCAGATGCTTTTATCCATGGGTACACACACAGACTAGAAGGAGAGCAATGCATTAATTATTATTGCTGAATGGTGCCTCTAGGATTAGACCTTGATTTTTTATCCCATCCAAAGAAAGGAGCATAAGGAGGTGACTTAACTGATTCAAACTCACACACCGAGCCACGGGGTAAGGCAGACGTTGAAGTGGAGGCTCCACGGTATCCAGCTCTTTGCCTCAGCCACCAAAGCAGCTCGCCTGATGTCAGAGCACCTCTCTCCCCCTTCACAGACGCTGCAGATGGGGATCCACCACTTCTCAGGGCTGTTTGTGCTGCTCAGCGTGGGGGTGGGCGGAGCTCTCCTCACCCTGGTGGGAGAACACGCCTTCTACCGCCTCATCCTGCCTCACATCCGCCGGAGACAGAAGTTCAAGTACTGGCTGCACACCAGTCAGGTGAGTTTGAGCCAAGCCTGACACCAGAACCGAAGTGAGGGATTTTCCCTGCAGGGGCTGAACGTAGACGGTTATTTTTGCGAGGCAATTATTTTGTTGCTTTTATTTCGGATTTTGAAATTTGCCATAGGTTGTGATCATTTACGTGTGGTTCAGTGGTCAGCATTGCTGTCTCACAGCGCTGGGGCCCTGGGTTCAACTCAGGACTCAGGGTGCTGTCTATGTGGAGTTTGCATGTTCTCCCAGGATTCATGTGGGTTTCCTCTGGGTCCTCTGGTTTCCTCCCACAGTCCAAAGACATTCTGGTTGGTTAATTTGTTTCTGGGGAAAATTGGCCCTGGTGTGAGTTTGTGCCCTGTGATGGACTGGCGTTCCAGGGTGTTTCCTGCATTGTGCCTGTTGCTTGCTGGGACAGGCTCCAGCTCCTAAACAACACTGTGCCGGAAGAAGCAGTTAGATGATGGATGGATGTAATCATTTCTTATTTTCATAAGGGGATATGAATGATGAAATAACATACAAATGAGTAAATGTTTATTCTGTGTTAGGAAAAGTTACTTTCAAAAAGACATGCATTACAGCAACAAGTTACTTGTATGAGGGCTTAATACCCTTTAAAATTAGCAATATGCTGGATCGAATAATTTAAAAAAGCCATTAGTTGCAGCAGCTACGTAGTGTATGGGTGTAATCAATATGTAAATTCATCTCGTTCAATTTAAAAGTAATAGCTTCCAACTTTAATGTATTACTTTTAGTAACTTTCTCCAGGATTGGTTTGCATCTATGAAAACAAAAATGTCTATTTTAATAGCTAGGATATTTGGTGTGTTCTGTGAAGATTGACTGCACATTGGTTAGTATACTGTTCTAGTCAGCAACAATATTAACAGAAAGTATATTTTGAGAGGCTTAGACATCCTGGATTGCAGTAAATGTAATAGGATTTGACTATGCCAGAGCTTATGCTTATATGAATAAGTGAATCTAAAAGAAAACAAGGTACATGGTATGGATGCACATTGCCCAGACATATTCGTTTCTGTGGTCAAGCACGGAGAAAGGGCGCCACCTAGTGTTTACTAGCACACTCAACACCTGACTGTCCCAGAAGCTTGAACTGTTCGATCTGTTGGATTTAGTCTCTCAGTATCTAACTGCATGAAGGTCATCTAAAAATCTGATACGATCATGTTTTGAAACTACAGCTTTTAACAACCCTTTGTTAACATGAAAAAAACTTTTGATTTTCTTATTTTTCTGTTCTGCAGAAAATTCACCGAGCTTTAAACATGACCTACGAAGATGTAAAAAGGCAAAGGGCGACTGCAGAAAAAAGGTACTGCTCAATTCCCTCACACAGTCCTTACAGACAGCAATCACTGTTGAAGACAGCAGTGCTCAATACTGCAATCCCACAGTCAGGGGGACAAGTTCTGAAACCTGTGCTGAACAGTTTATCTTTTGGACCGTATGCATTGCTTTTGTGAGAATGGTAGCATACTGTACAATAAATGCTCTGTATTTAGACTTTCATTTGTATTACTTTTGTTGCGGGAAGTTTATCTCAGTCAATTACCCATAGATGCTGCTGCACATGCAGATACAGTCCATTTTAATTAACAACTATTACTTGTCCTTTGAGGGGATCAAATTGTCTGATTTCTTTCTATCCCCTAACATTCATCACCGAAGAGAGCGGCGCAAGCTCTGAGCTTTGTGTGCCGATATACTTTGCGTTATTAAAAAACATAGAAGCAGCTGCAGTCTCCTCTGTTTTAGACATGTAATTAAAGAATAAGTAAAGAAATGTAGCACACAATTTCTTTGGAGGTTATACTAGAATAAACAAGAAAATCTGACGCATATTTGTCTACCTAATGTTTTCTTCAGAGGATTAGTCAACATTTATGTGAATTAACCATCCGTATAAAACAGTGTAAGCAGTTTAGAAATACCCCTTTCTATCTTCTCAGATTACATGATGTGTTTTGCTACTATATTAATTTCAAGAATAAATAGTACCTAATGTTTTTTGAGATTTTTTCTGTTGTGATGTATAATTAATGTCATGTGACTTCTGAATGGAAGTTCTTTCAGTCACTCTGGACACAAATTTCATCTGCAAGATGATTTTCTGTGAAGTCTGTGAACAATAAGCCTGGTCAATTGTTATGGTTTTGATTTTTCCCTACAGAATTCACAATGTACTGGTCCCTTCTGTGCCAATACCAGCATCCTTGAATACAGAATGTGTCGTGAGCATTATTGTCAGGCTATGTACGATGTCAAGCTACTTAACACTGCTATGCTTTTATTCTCAGTACAGATAATAAGCATTACATAACTTGCTCCCTGTCTCATTTTAAAATAGCTGAGCCCAATATCATGTACTTCGGTTTTAGGAAACACTAAACCCAAGAAAATGGGCTTTTCCCATTTTATGACTCGCTAAATCCTCCCAGTCAACCATCTCGAGATCGTTCAAAACTCGTTTGGTAACCAGTGCAGGGTTTCAGTACAGGAGTGATGTGTTTGTGTGGTTGTGCTCTATCCTGGTCTAGGTGCAATCTTCAGAAACTGCTGCCCCAGCAGCCGGCTCCAGCCCCCCCACCCGCTCCAGCCAAGTGGAACAACGAGTGCCGGGAGGGTTCCAGGGAAGTTAAGGACAACAAGCGAGTCCATTTCAACTTGGAGACCCTCAACACCCGCGGGCTCCTAGCACGTGCAGGGGCTGGGGAAAGAGGAGGAGGAGGAGGAGGAGGAGGAGGAGGTGAATCAGTGGTCCAGGTGTGTGAGAACGGGGGTCCGGCCTTACCCCCACCTTCCTCATCCTCATCCTCACCCGCCAGGGCTAGTGAGCTCCAGGAGCTGCAGGAGCGCATCGAGGAGATCCGCGGACAGCTGCGGGTGGCCCTGGCGAGGAGGGCCGAGCTGCAGACCTCCCTGGCCAAAGAAAAGGCCTGCCCGAGACCTGAACCCGAGGTCACCAGCACCTCACCATCTAAAGACACAAATGCGAAGAGGTGATCTCTGCACCACAGGGAGGGGGAGGGCAGCGCGGGCTGGTCACCCTGAGGTGGAACATCCAGGAAGCTACTAGAAAAGACTGCTGTAGTAGATCTACAAAGGAGGAACTTGACACACTCTCATATGAGAGCTTGACTCCACTGTTCTTTTCCTAGACTGGGTTCTCACTGCTTATTTTCAGGGCTGCACTGCAATTCGTTATTTCCAATTCCTCCAGCAACCTGACAGTACAAGATTGCATCACGCTTTTAAGCCAGGTTTGGACTGTTTTTGATCTGCTCTAGTACTGGAGCTATAAGCCTAGATGCCAGGAGGAGTTATGAAGAATGCAAAATTCTAAAAACAAAAACTCAATCCTGGATGGTGATAAGCAGCTGGAATCCTTGTAATACAGAACTTCAAGATAATGTTAATTATTTTTAGGTGGAACTGACGCAAATCTCTATAACTCATCAGAAGACATGGACTTAAAATGGTTGAATGATCCCAATCTAAGGAGCAATGAGACAATCAGTTTGTCAAGCAAAAACTTTTTAAGATGGAAAATAATGCAAATAATAGCCGGACTTGGGAGGAAGACTTGTTTAGACCTGGATGTTGGAAAGTCAGATTTTGTAACTTCTTTCTATGGAATTTTCATTGTTCTTTTATTTCTGTATCCTTACTCGAGATCGTACTCCAACCTAGACTTTTCAAATGAATTCTATCAGACATGAACCGGGAAACTATGATCTTTAAAGTGTATTTAAACCCTACTTTGATTACTTTACACTCAACTTTATTCATAATGAGCATTAAAATCTATGAGATTTTAATTATATATTTGCAGGTTGCAGCATGATCCTGACAGTGCAATAGTCTGACCCTAATGTCATTCTGCAGTTGTGTAAGGGTCTTCAATAGACCAGAGGTGCCTGATCAGTGATGGGTGTCATCCCTTTAACATGATCCTGTCGGATCCACTTTCACAGAAGCTAATCCTTGCAGGAACACGGAGACTGAGACTCCTGTGAGACTCCTGCAGGTTTTAAATAGCGACTTTGGTGTGCTGGGAAGACAATACCAGTGGCTGATGGACAAACTAGCTGTGGACCTCAGCTCTGGAGAAATCTGCTTAGAAAGGAGTCCACCTCCCCCTATTCTACTAAGTAGCCTGGGCAATAGCAAATGGTTGTGATATTGCATTTACCTTCCAAGTGCATTCTCCATCCCTACCAAAAACAGCAAAAGCACCAGTTCTGGCAATCACATGAGCTCCTATTTAAAATCTCTTCCTCCAAAAAATCAGATCTCTAACTACAGGATTTCATCTCTCCATCGACATCAACACAAAATGAAAAACAGAACACAGAGTCGTGTTTGTTTGTACAAAGTATTTTCTTCTGCTGTTTGTTTCTTGCGTTACAGTTAAATACATGTGAATGAGACAAATGGAATTTATCACAGGTTCTTTCAAGATTTTACAGTGTCTAAGTAGAATCTCTACAACAAATAGCAGTTTTTACTGGGTTTTTACAGTTATTCTGCTTCCCAGTACACAACAGCCCACAGGCACCAAAAAACCTTTTTCTTAGTGCTTTTGATCAGTATCGTACCTCTGGAAAAAAAAATATTGAATGACACAGTTGTCATATTGCACAAGTTGTGTTCATTGCCTCACTCCTGAACATTGGGTTCACTAACCCATTGCATAGCCACTACTGAACCACTGTGATTTTTAATGCAATTACAAAACAAAAAGGATACACACATTCTTAAAGTAACAAAAACCTGTTGCTAAAGTATTGTGTGATTTCTACAGATTGAAACCACACAAGGGTTCACTTCAGGCTGGTATCCTGGCCTCAACAGCAGGAGATTCTTACCACCAACCAGATTACTTTCCGTAAATCGTTCCTGACTGCAGAATGCAGGCTACAGCTTTTAATTCAATTCACAATCTGACAATTGCACATCTTGCTTACTTTAACCTGCTCCTTTTTATATGTCCTCAACTCTCTCCTTAACTTAATATTTAGGCAGGTGCTTAAATTGTGCTATGGAGACCTGTAGGTTACATGTACCCATAGCATACACATATACCAATTTTCAACCCCCCCACATTCTTAACCTTTTATTCACTAACAAACCATTATACAATTGGGGATCATTCAACAATGTGAAAGCACTACAGTAACTGTTCTGGGCTAAGAAGCGTTTTGATATAAGCATCAAACCCCACACAGTCACAGTGTAATTTCTTTTATAAACAATTTAGACTTTTAAAATGAAAACAGCTTTATACTGCAATTAGATTTATTAACCTTTTTTATTTCAAATCTCAAGTTTCTTAGAAGTGAGCACTAAGTTTTTTAAATGTTTTTAAGGCTTCTGTACTGCAAATAGTTCTCATGGGCTATTGTGTAACAAGATGTTTTGAACACTTTTTCCAGTAACTTTCAGAATAGGCTAAACAAACCAACCAAGCTCCAGTTGTTAAAACTGAACTGTACTGTTCACTTTCAAAATAACTTCCTTAACTTCCTTGACAGCATTACAAGGAAAATGCTGATGCTTTTAGAAACTAAATACAAATTTTGTCTTCCCTTCTGTGAGAAACACCAACATTTTAAGGCAAATGCAACCTTTACTTGTACAGTATCTTTGTTTTTCTATAAAAAGTAGAATGACTAAGTCAAAAAGCAATTAAGAAGCAACCAGAGAAATTAGAATTTCAATGAATATTAATTAAATTTGCTCAAAACAAATATGCAAATCTTAGATGTCTTTAAATTAAAATATTACCAGAAGCAAAAAAGATTAGCTGTTTCCACAGTTCCTATAGGAATGACATATCTAGTACACTGCTACTCCCATTCGGCATGGTGCAACACTAAGTCAGGTGAATACATTTTCACTTGCTGGTCTTTTCAGTTGCAAACTCACTGGAGGTGACACCCTAAGCGCTTAAAAGAGATTGATTAAAAACTAAAGACCGCGACATACTGAAAAGGCAAAATGGATGCTGCAGATCTCGGTGAGTTTGACTGGAACAAACTACCCAGCCGCCTCATTTAAGCCAAATCCCTGAAATCTTTCCAGAAGGGCCTGGAGGAGATTCTCACACACAAGCTCCTCTTGTCGTGACTATTCTCAAGGTGTTATTTTACACAGCCGTGTGTGTGTGTAACAACAGTACTCACATCAGCATTTTTACTGAATTCACACAGCACAGAAGAACATTAGCTTCTGGATCTTAAACTGCTTAATTTGGCATCCTACCAGTTGCTTGAGCAAATCACTGTTTAATATTTTAAAAGACATTGCACTTAGATATGATGAAAAAAGAAATGGAACTATAGCCAAACTTAAGGAAGGTCCCAGAGCCCCTCAATAAAGTGCCTCGCATTCTAGTGCTAAATCAACATTCCTGTAGCATCTGCTTTTGTCCTATAGTTTTTCACTGTTGATTCTGAAGAAGTTCACTGGGTTGATATGCGATCTGTCAATTGCTTTAGGATTCGGAATAACTGAACTAGGTATCTTTGTGTTGTTCTCTGTTAAAGACCGGAAAGATTGAGCTCTTTTGGCCTGTCAGTGCTAGACATTCCTTTAATCATGGGAATGCATCAGATTATTCTTTTCTGGCTCTTTCCAGTGCTTTCCATATCTTCTTTGTACTTATCTATCTAGAATACCTCCCAAAACAAAGATTAATGAGACCCAAGAACAGAGAGCTGGGCTGACAACACAGCCTTCTTCAGAAGAAAAGGAGTGGAGAAGCAAACCAACAATTGTAAATCATAACTGACAGTTGCAAAACCGCTGTGCTCCCTCTAAAATATAGGCACAGGACATTTCTTTCCATTTTGTAAAGCCCAGTCAAATCCACTGAATTCAGTCTAATCACTAAAATAAATAAAATAAAAGAGATAATTCCTAAAACAAATCAAATTGCATTAATGGGAACACACTGTGCTGCAGCCAAATAAAAAAAAGGAATCACTGTAGCAGAAAACATGCATTCTTATTGAAATATTAGTTCATCCAAATAACACGGTAACATACCTGTAGCAAACAAATTTATTACTTATATTCAAGAAGCACAACAGCAGAGACAGGACAACATCAGAAGGGTATACACAGATTCCTGGAATTGACTTTTCTAAGAGCTGACAGGACAGGGAAATATATAAATTCTGTTTCAGGGGGGGAACTTCCATTTGTTTTTTAGATCTGTGCAGATGCTGCAATGAACAAAAACATTTAATGATGGTTGGGCACAGCAGCCAGTGCTTATTCAACAAAGTGATCAAGTGAAAATATTTTTTCAATATAAAAACTCATAAGGGGTGGAAGGAATGATACCAAGCCATAGGTGTCTTTGTTCACCAATATCTAGTGTTTTTTCCCCAAAGAGAAGGCCAACTAACTCCTAAGCTCCTAATTCTAAAATTGTTAAATTTACAGTCACTAATTTCCTCTGTACAGCTCTTCTCTCCCCTGACTCCTTAGCTCCCCAATTCTTTGGTCTAATTAGGTTAAATGGACAAAAGTTACTCCAAGAACCCAATTGCTTTACTGTGCTTTTACACAATTCAAGGATCTATGTAAATGAATTGCTGAGAGTGGGGGAAAAATAAACAAAGTCGTTAGATGAAAAGATCTTGAGATGAAAAAAAACACACAAGCCTTGGTAGGGGTCAAACATTGGAATATGCTACAGCAATCACACTGCTCTAGATGGTACACATTTACAATTCAATGAATGCCATATTCCTGCCAGGCGCTTCAGAAAACACAAGACATTATGCTCTCGAATTCTCTTACTAGGGCGAGCGCTGTCATCTTCTCTTTTTCAGCACATAAAAACAATGCCATCTCAGCTGATCTCATCTGTTTCAGCACCTTTATTTTTAGAATCACAATGCATGTATTTTGTTTCTCCCCGTCAATACATTCTGTCGCTGGGTCACACAATCTATGCTCTTTGTCACTGATTAAAAACTAAAGCCTTTAAATTTAGAGCTCTGCTCATGTGTCCCTCCTGGCCCATAAGAAATAGATTTTGGTAAGAATCTATCCTGACACGAATCCCCATTTTAAAACAAAAGGAAAAAAAAAGTTTAACTCCTGTTTCCACCACGAGGGAAGGAGAGGATGGCGTCTCTTCGTCCCTCCTCCCTCCCTTGTCTTCCACAAAGCCACATCCAAGAGGATCTTTGGCATCCTGTCCCCGAGCTTTTCCACACAAAGACAATGTGTTTGAAGAAGAAAGAAAAGAACAACGATAATTTAGCAGGCGGCAGTGCAGCGGAGCTCAGGAAGGAGTTGGCTGGGGGTCAGGGGGGGAAGCCCTAGAGTCTCCCTCTGCCTTGCAGTGCCAGTCCGTTTCGCTGCGCTGCGCGGCCACTGAGGCAGAGGGCTGCCCCTCTCCATCGAGGCTCCTACAGTCTAGGAATGGGTCCTGCTGGGCCCCAGTCCCTGGGACAGCAGCGAGGCCGGGCTGGGCGGCCTTGCCCTCCTGCGGGGCAGTGGCTGGCGAGGGATCTTGTGAAACACTCATGGCCTGCTCTCCCAGGTCGCCCCCTCTGGCTGTGAACTCCAGCGTGACCACGCTGGCACTGCTGGCAGCGCCTCCTTCGCGGCTCTCGCTGCCTACCCGCAGGTGTGCCACCACGCTGATGCCCGCCTCCGGCACCTGCTCTCGGATGCCCTCAGTCTCCAACAGGCCCCCCCCCAGCTGTGGGGTGGTCAGAGCCTCTGTGATGATAGCAGCCGTTTCCGCCACCCAGTCCAGGTTGCCGCTCTCCGCCTGCCCCCCAGCTGCGCTCTGACTGGCCAGGCCGTTGGGCTGGGGCGGGGCGTCGCCGGGGAGGCGGGGCTGCCCATTGGGGGCTGCTCTGGCTCCGGCCCCTCCTCCCGGGCCGGGTGCGGTGCTGCTGGTAGTGTTGTTATTGAGGTTGTCCTGCAGGGTGGTCTGATTACCCTGGCCTGCCTGCTGGTTCTGAAGTAGCATCTCCTGGATCCGAATCTGCTGCAGGATGGCAGGCAGTTCGTAGTGATGGAAGAAGTAGATCATTGAGTGCTGGGAACGAAAATGTGGGGGTCAACTCACAGACAGATGAGACATTTTAAATTGAAGTTACCAAACAGTTTTTCCATATTATCAAAATATTTGATTCTCCAAGGAATGTTTAAATCTTCATCCAAGGAACTCCCAATTCTTTCTAGCCAGCATAATTCACACAACACTTTAGCAAGGACAGCTAAACGTCTCTGAGGTGTATACGTTTTAAAGTCTCAATGACAGAAGCACAATGCTGTTCCATACTAGCATAATCTTATTTTCAAGTTGCATAAATAAATTTTGAAGATTGTATTTATAAATCTGTTTTTCTACTGACCCAGGGCTTGAAAAGAACATGATTTGTCCATGCTGTGATCCTGAGCTGCACCAACTCTACTGACCTACGCATGACTTTAATCATATACAATTGTCATTACCCTCATTATCAATAGATTAAACATTCTTATCCTTGCAAAATGCTAATAAGACAATCTGCCTCTAACATACCTAACATCCCATGCCCCGGCCAAACCTACCTGTATGAATAGCCAGGAAGTCACAAGGGCCAGGCTACTGTACTGCCCATTGAAACGGTAGTGGTATGCATAGAATGCAAAATGATATAAATAGAAGAACCTGCAAAATATCAAGACAGAATCTCTTAGACCTTTGTGTAAAACTCTGGTCCTTCATGCGAGCTAGATGTGTTCTACCAGAGATCTCAACTTAATGATTTGCAAAAATGAAATGAAATGAAAAAGGGATCAGAGGAAGATCAGCCTTACCTGAGCCAATGGCGCTTGCTGGTGTTGGTGTGGCAGCAGATTGCATCGTACTGGTCAGCCAACCACACGATAAGAATGATGTAGAATGCAGTTGTTGTGTCATTGAAAAACTCTGACATAATTGCTTCCATGCCTAAAAAGGAGGAGAGGTTAATGCTGGACAGCCCCTCACTGGCCATGGGAAAAAAAAAGGTGCAAAAATGAGGCATCTTACCAACTAGAGCCAGTATAACTGTGAGCAAAGGTGCCGCAGGAAACGCAATGGTCATGTTCATCTCCAACATCTGCAGAAGGTCCACTGGTAATTACAACAAAACAGAGCACAGGTCGCCAACTATTACAGCCGAATGAGATTTCTTTCCGGTATGTCTCCACGAAAACAGCATTGCACTGGGTTAAATATTTCAAAAAGATAGCAAAGAAAATCAAAGAAGATTTGAAATAAAACACAGATCAGCGAATAGCCATTTTTTAAGCCTGAGCTAAAAAAGCATAAAGTTAGTATTGACTTTGACCTCCCTGAGCATTACCACACAGGCATGCCAACAGAAAGATGCGATTAGTTTCTGGACAGTCTACTGTAGGATAGCCTTGCAAGTACAGCCAGCTTGCTTGTTTTAGTTATCTCTGGTGGGATTAGCGACTCTGTTTCACAGATATTCTATTGGATTCAAGTCTGATGAACAAACTGGCCACAGAAAAGGCTCATCTGTTTTCTTGAAGTCTTGCCAATGTAATCCTTGTACTGTGGCATCTCGCATTGTCCTGCTAGACATCACACACTGTCACTCTTACAAGATGACAGGAATTAGAAAAACTCAAAGACCCACAAAGACCCTATTACTGTATTGCTGAGCTCAATTATCACCAGAGGTGTTGTATTAAAGGAGATTCATTCCCACACTATCCCACCTTCAACACACTATTGAGTGGTTTGTATAATGATGTGACAATCCTGGGCAGGTGTGCCCGAGTCTCCCTCACAGAGCTGGTTCTTGGTTTCTGTGGACCAGTGCTGATTGCTCGGAGCAACTGGTCTCAGTAATGCCAGTAACGACCAGGTGTTAATCATTTCTCAGGTGAAACACGGACAGATTCTCTCAAGGTTGTTAAAACAGATTCTTAAACACCTCATTCTGGCCCTTTATCTGAACTCTCAAACTGAACACCTGACAATTTGATAAAATCACAGCTCACCACAGCTCTTTATGAGCTCACCATTTTCTTAGGAACAAGAAACAATTCTACTAAAACAATCAACAACCTATCTTTGCACTACTTAAATGTAAAGAACTTATATGCTAAATGAAGGCACAGATTGGTGTCTTTTCCATCCGTGCCAGTGTATCACTAATTCTTAGCTCAAATGAGCCCCAAGTAAGATTTTTCCAGCAGTCTAAAATAACTGCTTAAAGCTTTGCACTTGGATGAGCACATAAGAAAACAAGTAGAAACATAAAGTAATACTTTTGCTCGACTTACCTATGAAGACAAAGATCTGATGGTGCGAATAACGAAGTAGCATGGAGACGGACAGCGTCTGCAAGCAGATGAGAGAGAGTATTGACTTCATCCACAGAGCAAGCGCTACTGAACACAATCACCAGACAGCTCAGGTTCAGGAACTCGTTTTACAAGCTCAAGGACTGCCAAATGCGTCGTTATCGCCACTTGATATGGCACAGTCCACTCTGTGTTTACCTCACAATAAGGGTATGATTTCAAAATATGTCATTGAGAAATGAGGGCCTTGATGAATGCCTGACTCACAAAAATGACCATGATGACAAAGGCTGCCAGGTAGGAGGTCCGTGCCATCCACATGCTGACGAAGCGGTAGTGTTCCCCCGAGACCACATTGCGCAGAAATCCTGCCGAAACAGCCACATAAACCGGGACACAAAGAGCCATCAATACACCATTTAACACTCAGACTATCGTCTGCTCACTGGCTAAGAATCCAAACCTTTCCATAACTGAATTATAACAGTTTGCTTATTTTTACAGATCTTACTTGGATGCAATAAGGGAGTGAAATGGTACTAATCACACCATCAAAATAAATATCTCCAAATAGTGTATTAAAGACAACTATCTGCTGGCAGGCTGGTAACATAACTCAACTTGGTCCTTTGTAAGCCTTACCTTTGTTTTCCTCGTTCTCCGCCAAGGCTTTCACACTGGACATTAAAATGTCGTCATAGCCAAGGAACTCATCCAAGAGGAAACGACTAAACCCATCCCCAAAGCACTGGTCCTTCATCGGATCTACAGAACAAATATGCCGAAGACGCACGTTTCATTTCAAATGTACTTGACGCACTGGACTTGCACAGCCGTTCACCAAGAGCCCCAGGAAACAAGTCCACACATGGAAACTACAGGCAAGTGCAACTGAAACCGGGAGTCTTTCCACACAAAAGGCAGTAATAGTCTGAAACACGCTACCCAGCCACACTGCGGAAGATGACACCATGACGTCTTTGAAAAATCGACTGGATGAGATCCTCTGGTCAATTAGCTATTGGTAGCCACTAGATCCATATAAAGCTGCAAAGCGTGCTTGTGCTAGCTTGTTTGGAAGACCGGACTTCAGAATTATGATTTGAAAACTAGACTACATGAAGATGACCAATCTGAAACGCCTAACAGAAACCACTGTTTCATTTCACCCATAATTCTGTCCAGATACAGACCTAGTGTGTGAAGTGACCCTTCATTTAGGACCAAGTGATGATAATAGTAGTAAGACCAATATTTTTAATTGTCAAAAGTCCCAAAATGACTTAGTCTGTTTCTATTTATTCTTTAAGGCAAGTAAATCAGTTGCTTTTCTTTCCATAAAATAAAGTTTTATGTAATTTGATAAGAAGTATGTCATTTGCATACTTAAAACGCATGTTTAACAAAAAGGAAATTTTCTTAGATGTATATTTTTCATTAATTATTTGGAAGCTGTGTTAATAAAGGAAAAATGTTTCCCATCACTGTTATTACTTTAGGTCCTGATTCACGGGAGAACATGAACGTAATGTCTGCTCCGGGCAGGAGGCAGAATGAGAAAATGCATACAGAACTCCACCAGGAGTAATAAGTGCTTTAATGTGACTCAACTAACAAAAGAAAATGTGAGCTTTCTCCAAAACCAGAGAAACTATTACAGCCTGGTTGTTCATAATATCTACAAACGCAAAACACTGCTTTTGGGAACAAATCTCCTTCAGTGAATTCCAGCAAATTCTAAAACTTTTGTGCATCCCCATAAAACTTCCCAGATTCCCCACAAATAAAAAATAAGAACATCTGACATTTGACAAAACCCTGATCCCAGAGAGCTCCAGTTCAGCTAATCCCTATAGGCACTTGCATTACAGTTTCTTAAAAAAAACAAACACTTGGCAGCTGTTCGGTTGAGCAAGTCAATTGTTCAATTAAGGGAAGCCTGGGCCTTTATGGCTTATATATTCCAATTGTATTGGTCACACTAAAGCAGGCTACGTAATTATGAAATCACTGATTTCTAAAGATGTGGTTCGAATAATCAAATGATTTAAAGGCTACCGACAAAGCCTGCTGGACGGGGGCTCTCCAGGACCAGGGCTGGAGACCCCTGCAGTAGACACCTATTAAGGCAGCATACAGACCTATTACTCCCAACCAACCTCCATGTCTGCACTTACCCAAAGTGACCACCATGACAGGGATGTTAAGGCGCTGGCGGGTGGTAGGAGAGAGACGCAAGAAGCCATACTCCAGTGAATACTCCACTATATACTCCTCCTGTGGCCACACTGTAAATAACACACAGCCCTGCTCAGTCCAGCACTGCGCTCAACATCTCCCATTATCACACTACAGACAGGACTACACTATGTCCAACAGCGGCTGCCATAGTTAGACCTGCTGTAATCTTTAAAGAGCATGGCCTTCACTTTCTCTGCATGACTTCGATCACGAATGTAGCATCCCCTTTTTAGCCATGGTGCAGCTCAGAAAAGGAGAATATTGTAATGGTAGTAGATCTTTCTGAATTTTAAAGGCATCCTTTCCTTTGGTTACATGAAGAGGTTCAATTATTAGTGCATGTGAAATCCTATGGGAAATCTTAAAATCTCTACGGGCTGAAAAGGGATACAAGATTCAAGGTGTGCATATTCACAGAGTAAAATAGTTATTGGCATATGGGCGAGTCAAGCAGCAAGAACTCAGTCCAGGATTTCTAAAACTGTACTAAATCCTTTGTTGACAGAATTTTCAGAGCAATCAAGCCAACAAAATACTAGAGATGATTAAGCGTTCTCCATAAAAAAAAAATATTTGAAAAGATAGACACAAATTTCATAGAACTAGAAAAGGGCTGGAACATCATGACATAGGCTAGATAATTATCATTCAGTATATCAACATCATTAACCTTGCTAACCCTACTGCAATTCTTGTGTCATGTTAATTTAGATTACAGCAATCAATCTTAAAAGTCTTGGAAAGAGAGGCGTAACCTCCAGACGGTGGGGGGTGTGGGGACAGAGCATACTGAAAGGAAATGAAAAACAAAGACTGGAGATGTTCAGTCACAGCGAGAACACACCCAGGATGTCAGGACATTGGAACACAAGAGGAGTGAGCTACACTTCCCCATCCTCATGAGCAATACCCTGCTAACCTCACTTCTTCATGCAAATGCCCGCAATAAGCAGCAACAGATTACTCATCAGACTGGGCAACTGTAGCACAGAGAGACCCTGGAGGCTTGCTTGCAGGGGTGAAGGCAGAAGGCACAGGGAATAGAGCAGAGGAAGTGCAGGAGTGCCCGAGGAGAAGGAGGAAGGGGCAGGAAAGGACAAGGTGGGCGTTTCTTTTAGTTTTGCACGGCGGCAAGAGCACAGATGGTTTACCTGCTCGGGTTAGCATCTCAAGCTCGGAGACTGTCTCCCTCAGCTGCTGCATACCTTTAGTGGCGGTCTGGGTGAAGGAGAGGTCCTGGCTGTCGTTGAGCACTGCTGCTTGTGTCACTGCCTCCACGCTGCTGCTGAGAGAGGGCTTCAGCCGCGGCTCGATGTCCAGCTCAAACTGCACACAGACACACGGGCGCTCAGCTCTCTGATGCCCTTTGGCCTGTGCTCGCTGTCTGCTCTCCTCCTCATACCTCACTGTCACAGGGCCACCTGCTTGCTCTACAGCGGCGCTTGCCTATCTCAGGGCCCAAGGACCTACTGAAGCTTGGACTGAATCAGCATTTAATCACTTATCTCTACATTCTGCCCTGAAAATATTTTTAAACATTCTGGAAAAAAAAAGTCTAATCCAGGAAAAACTAAATTAATGTTGCATATCCTCAGAATAAGCAGAAACAACTACAGAGATCAAATCGTTCACCGAGGAGGAAAGAGTAAGAAAGCCAATTCACAGATGTGGATTATTAGGAGGTCAAGACTGGTAAAGGCCAGGGGGAAATTTGGCCAGGACAGCAGAGTGACACTCCAACTCTTTCCGGGAAACTCCCTTGGATTTTTAATAAACATGGAGAGTCAGGACTGAAGTTTAACATCTCATCCGAAGGACGAGATGTGTCCCTATCTGTATACTGGGGCATTAGGACCCACACAGACCACAGGGTGAGCTCCCCATACTGGTCCCACTAGCACCTCTTCCAGCAGCAACCTTAGTTTTTCCCAGGAGGTCTCCCATCCAGGTACTGACCAGGATCACACCTGCTGAGCTCCAGTGGGCTGCCAGCTGTGAGTCACAAGGTGAAAAGGCTGCTGGCTAAAAAAAGAAAAGGCAACCCAATTCCTGGAGCCAAAGACACACACGCTGCTTACTGCCAGTTCTGGCCTCCCCCACGTTGGGCTGACCTGCACTGAGCTGTTGTCAAACATCTCCACCGTCATCTCCTCCTCCTCCTCCTCCTCCTCCACGGCGCCCAGGGCCCCCTCCGGCTCCTTGACCAGCCCCTGGAAGCTGTCCGTCTCGTAAAACTGCAGGAAGATGGGCGCCCGGCTGGAATTGCGCTGGATCTCCACCCGCAGGATGCCGTCGCGGGGCCACTTCTCCCGCACGTGCTCCAGGCAGTTGATGGGCGAGCGCGAGAAGGCGATGTGGATGTAGGCCAGGATGAAGAGGACAAACAGGGCCTAGGATGCAAGTGCCAGGGCGGAGACGGGTGAGGAGGAGGATGACAAAGGGGAGAAGGACGGTGATAAGGAGACAAACGGAAAGAGGTTGGGGAAAGCGGATAAAAAGCCAGGAACAGAAGCCACGTCGCAGCAAAGCCAAACGAGGGGGAGTGGAGATAAAGAGAAAGGCCAGATCAACAAGGCCAGAGGCAGTTGATCCAGAGCAATGAGCAGGGTGGAACAGGACAGCAGGCCGGCAGGCACAGTGACAGAGGTGGGGGGGATTGGGCATAGAAGGAGATAAGCGGGGCACAGAATGAGAGGTTAACGAAAATGAATGGTAAGTTAAGAACAGCAAAATTGAAGGGGTGGGGGGGGAGAGAAAACAATTTCAATCACAACCGTGGAACATCTTCAATCAGTTTACACCAGCTACAGGCCATTGCCTGTTGAGCACACCGAAAGTGGGACTCAGAGCAAACTTCATCCAAGGTAGAAATGCTGATCTTTACATCTATACGCCCTTCCTGCTCAGGGTTATCTTAGCTATCCCACTGGTATGCCAACACAGTAATCCCCCAAAGTCTTTGAGTTCTAGTTTACTTTAGTGATGAATTAGTGATTTATTGAGTGCTGCATCCACGTTGGAATACAAAGGATTTAAATAATTTAACTTGAAACACAAATGAACTGGGGAACAGGACTATTTGTTACAATCAGTTGCTAAATTACCACACCAGTCTCTTCTTTCTTCAGGTCTGGCTTCAGTGCATAGCAGAGGACCAACCTTGAAAGTCAAACATTTAATTCTGCTCTAGTTTAAACAGTGCGTCTTTGGACCTTCAGCTTGCCTTTGTAGATCTCCCTTGACTAATGACAGTACATTCCTGGCTCCATCTAATGACCGCTGCCGATCTGTCAGCTACATGATCGCTTTCGTGATGCTTTGCATTTGTGCCACTCCTTCACTTCGGGTTGTTCTCCCTGCAGTCTTTATTTTATTTAGTCTGTACAGCTATGCATTTAGGACAGTCTAGTTAAAAGCACCTTAAGAAGATAATCACAGAAAAAACACTCTGCAAAAATGGTCACTCATTGTTTAATCTATGGCAAGTACCTAAAACCTAGGCCAGGAGCTGAATATTTCTGCTGGAGCTCCTCATGAAGTAGCTTTTTGCTTTGTCTGCTAGTCTTTCAGTGTTGAATAAGTTACATCGTGGCAAGAACACTAGTCTAAATCCTTCTTTTCACCATATTATAAACACAAGACTCAACGTCTCTGTAATTTTCCAGCAATGGAAATCGTAAAACCTATTATCTGACTAATGCCTCCCTACTTCTTCAAAGGAAAAAGAGGGAAAATAAACAAGCCACAAACCTTTCATGTAACACACTAGATGGCACCTGACAGCCTGATCAGACAACAATCCCTTTCTGTGCTGTGGTGCTGGAATATCATAGCAGACTGCTGAGCTCTGTCAACACTTTTGCTCCATGCACAAAACCGAAAGACTGTTCATCTGCTCTGTAAAAGTTAGCTGGAGGCTTTTGTAACAATATAGCTTGGGCACAAACGCAACTATATCATCCTATAATACCAACAGAATCACTGACAATGCAACTGTATGTTTAATTGTAAGACAAACCGCTTCAAAGCTTTTCGCTGCACTGCTCAACAGCAGGAGTGATGTGCAGTCCATTTAATCCCCTGCTTTAACTTCTGAAGCTACTGATGATAGCAATACTGGATCACAGGACATCATATTTACTGTAGGTTTTAAAATTATAGAACAGGCCTGTGTAATTAAACAGTCTCAGTACTTTTATTTTGCACCGTTTTTACCTTACTATACCTAATAATGTTAAAACATCTGCTCCAGGTGTTCCACTAAAAACAGGTAAGGGATCTAATTTATATTGCCTGTCTGGGACTTCACCCAAAGACTGTAAGTATAATCCATATTTAGCGCAATTAAAAAATAAGAATGCCTAAAGTTCTTCACATACTGTACAAAGTTTGCTCAAAACACTTCTAAAATTTTTTTTTTACTGGGTAAAAATTACATGCATTGTTTGGGGCTGCTCTTTGACAAGTTATTTGGTTTTCTACCACAAAGCAGAAAAGGTAATAACTGAAGCTTCATCAATTATTCTGATTGAGTTCAGGAATTTGGTTAGTCTTTAAATCAAAACAAAACAGAAATCAGATTCCTACACAGTGCGTTCATTCACAGCTCAACACTATAACAATTTATTACCTTATGCACACATTGGATTGTGCTCAAAGCATTTGTGCTAAAAGCTTATTCAATCAATCTATACAATTCTACCATGCACCGACCTTCATATTTAATTCCCCAACATAAAGTAACTGCATGTGGGTTAGTGGTTCATGCATCCGTGAATGCTTGATTTTGTACTGCACACTGACAGCTCAGCATTGATCCCACTAATTTTGAAGCTGGTGTGAACAGGGCCATGAACCACAGAGTAGATCACTTTAAGATCTAACGGAGGTGTACAACTATTTCAAATGACTCTCCTGCCAGTATGAAAATAGTGGAGGTACAAGAGCAGGACAATACAGCCACTATAGTCATCTTCAGAGCAGGTTCACCATGGAAGAGTGTTCAGTTTGCACACAAACTGACAGACAGTGAAAGGTATCCCTTCATTCCCTTCCAGAAACCCCCAGCACAGTCCCTGTAAACCACCAGAGAATTTCATCAGACCCCTGCTTGAAAATCTACCACACTAAATCAGATTAGATTAATATTATTTATTAATGTGCACGTATTGGAGGCATCTATCAGACGTTTGCTGAACACTAGTAATCAAAGTGAAACAGCCGAGTTAAAACTGGAGATGAGAGTCCAGATATACCGAACATCCTGTGAGGTTTTTAAACATATAGCAATGAATGACCCTTTCTCCCTAGCCTCACCTGTACGCATACTACCTGGCCGCATGAATCTGTGTTTAATAAACTTTCATAAGATATCACTGATAACTACAGATTAAGAGTTTTTCTTAAACAATGAATTAATGAATGAAGGAGCCTGTATGTTAAACTGCCATCTTAGAGCAGCAGACAGGGTGTGCAGGTTTTTTTAAAATCCATTTCCATACACTGGTCTCTTCTGTCAGTCATGTGGAACTCTTGGTGTATGCTGCTTTAGAAAAAAGAACCGAGACCTTTCATAATGGAATAATTGTACTAAATATAAAAACAGGAAGATATTGATCAAAATATAGCTTAGTGTGCAACTGTCAATTTGCTTCACTCCTTTCTAAATTTATAAACCTAAGGTCATCTCTGAAAAAAGTTTTTTTTTTTAAATATCAGCAATTCTCCTTGTAGTCTCTGCTTTTCCCCACCACATAAAAACCCGAGAGCAGTTCTATTACATTTCACGGCAATTTAATATTGTCCCCAGTCCTTGCTATAGAAAAGTGCTTCATATTTATTTGGTGTAGGTTTTATATTAAGCCTTAGGTTATGTCATAATACAGGATGAAAGGAGCAGCCTAAAGGCTTTGAAAATCAGAAATGTTCTACTTAAACTGCTGCAGATCACTTGGGAACATATATAATTGTAAAACTTTCTTGGTTTGCTTTGAGCCCTTGACTTATCATTTACTTGCAGTGGCATTTTACATAATACCCCATTTCCTAGGCAAAAGGAAGTTTGCTTAGATATACCCACCCTCCAAGAAAAAAAAAGTTGATTCTCCTTTTATATTCTTGTCAGAGATTGCAATGTCAACAGGGAGGTGAATCACAAATGCACCAGCTTATTTCAGTGCTCATTCCTGTTACATTTCTTCTTCTATTCAACCAAGCCTGGGGGGAATTCTAATGGCTTTCAGACAGGGGTGTCCAATTCCTGAGAACCTGCCTGGCATATTTAGGGGTTTGTTCCACTGAGGCACTCAGTTACACAGCTGGCTAAGACGTGGGATGACCCAGTTTGAGCCTACTGCAACCCAGGCAGGTGCTTTCTGCTTGATGATACTGCGACAAGCCCCGTATCTTTTAGCCTTTGCGAGAAGTTTGGTTTGTGAAAACTGCAGAGCCAGATGAGGGCCTGTCAAGCTTGGTGGATTTGATCCAACTGCCGCCCTACGTCAGACTTTCAAAGCAGGCATCTCATACACTTACAATCAAGCTATTATGCTGGTGCCGAGGCATGTTAAGAATGTGTGACCACTTGTGTTTACCAATTAGTGTGTATCATTGCAACTGCAGGCATGTCCAAAAGCCCTGGAAAGGAACTATTGTACATTTTAAAAAAAAACCATCACCACTGAAACCATGCCACGTTAGATTAAGATGGTCGCGGTTTCAGCCTTTTTTTTAGAAAATAATCAAATCTGCTAGGAGGCTAAGAGAAACGTGCACAGGCCATTCTCCTTCCAACCTCTGCAAACGGCATGAGCCCAGAGCAAGACTCAAAAGGAGTTTGTGGCAAACGTAAAAACGGGCCTCGATTTTTCACCATCTCCCAGACCACGGGGGACTCCCTTGTAAAAAGCGGCCGAGGCCTCAACTACAGGTTTCGCCAGGCGAAACGGCGTCAGGGGGTGGCGGGGCTACAGCTGCGTTTGTACTTGAGCAATGGAACTGGGAGTTCCGGCATGCAAACCCGGGTGCCTGAGCCTTACCTTCAAGAGGACAAAGAACTCGAAGATCCTTCGGAAAGACGGGGGGAAAAGCCTGGCGTAGGTGACTGCCATTTTAAAGAAGAGGGCGTGAAACAGACGGTCGCGGACATTGATAAGCGGGTTCTGATTGATATTGGGGTTCCGTATTCGGTTGGCCCCGCCATTGTTATTTATGGGGTTGTTGTTGTTGTTGACGTTGCCCTGGTTGTCAGACATGGTCGCGGAGCGGTCGGCGACAAATTCCAAGTTGAAACTGAAGCTGCAGGCGAAAGATCCCGGAAGATTTGAAAACCGCCCCCCTCGCTCGGGCTGCGTGCGTTTTCTTTTTTCCCCCCTGTACCACTCGCACGGACGAGGCCGACGACGACGACGACGACGCCGCCGCCAGGCTGCTCAAATAAACAAGCCCTGGCTTTCAGCGGGATATAGTCCACTCGCCCCCTTCCGACACCATTTCTCGGACCGCCGATGAACGAAACGAAAAAAAAAAATCACGCCGACCGAGTAGGGGTGCCGTAATAGGGGACGTTTCCCAAGATACAAAAACAAAAATGCGAAGAAAAATGTCTTTCACTCCCAGCCTACTATAAAAGCCTGTCCCAGTGGCCTAAGGAGTAACCATATGTCCACATTCTTTACTCAATCATCGCAACCCCACACAGCCGCGGAACTCCCCCGCATCTTTGGGGTATCCAGCCTCTACTGAAAAACAACTGAAAACAGCCCATATGACAGTGTCCTTATGCGTTTTGCTTTAAACTGCTATATTTCGAAAGTACTGATGTTTCCGTGCTGCTGTACTGACGAAGGCAACGACAGCGGTGTCGCAGGCTCACTAGTGCCCCGGCTCTCGGACTAGGCTCCCGGCTTCCCTCTCTGTTGCCGACGTCGGAGGCGCCGCGGTTCCGTCGCTGGCTCAGGGTTTTTCTGTTTCTGCTTGTTGTTTTCCTTGCCCTGTTGCTGTTGCTGCCATTTTCTATACTCTGGTTTCTCTCTGGCTACCACGGAAAAAAAAAACACACACACATACACATATAGCCCTAAGAGGAAACGCGCTGTACGTGGAGCAGAAAGGGGGACAGTGGCCGCTAGAGGTGGGATGGCTACATTTAAATCAGTCTGTTCGTTTAGGATTTGAGCGATTTACTGTGCTGTTTAAGCGGCCGTTTTCACGATCGCCAGGATTAAACACAAAATCCTAACTGAGCGCTATGTGTTGCTGCCGTTAAAAATAATAATAATAATAATAATAATACACGAAAAGCTGAACTCGTGTTGAGCGTCGTAATAAAAAAAGGGGATATCCTGTAGCTGTTCGTTGTGTTGAACACTTGTTTTTTTATGGTTAAAACGTAACGTTTGTTTCAATGGACCTGAAAACCCCGCTGAAGGACGACTTTATTTAGTTCAGAAAATTGTTTACGTTTCCTAATTATTCGTATTTTGCTAATCTTGTTCAGTTTTCCAACAATACCCGCAAGCGCTTTATGAAAGATCGGGCCCTTTAAAACCACGACAATAACAGTTGACGCGAGAAGGGCTTTGCCCATCGTAGTCGCCTTGGTATGTGCCTCAAATTCCCCACCTTGAGAAACAAAACAAAGTGAAAACGGAGCTTTCGTTGCGTTTAAGGTATTTATGCTAAAAGATAGCCGTTCTTGATTATTACAACAAGAAAGGAATACGACGTCCACGTAGATTTTAAAGCTTGCCTGTTTGTAATAATAACAGGCATATTCATGGACTCCTCACTTAATGAGAGTGGGGTCCTTCCGTATTTTTGGTAAAGCTGCTTCTCAAATTGTAAAGATGTGTTTTTAAGGATAAATTAAACCTTATGTTGTGTGGGAGCAATGTTGTGTCTTGTTAGTTTTGTATTTTTTTACTTTATAAAACAAGAGAGATTTGTGGTTATTGGTTCTTTTATCTTCCTTTTGAGAGACATCTAAAACCGACGGCGTGTGGGCATGATTAACCGGTAGCTAATACTGTAGTTCTTGATTTAGTTAGTGTATACAACTTGTTATATTTTCATAAAGTTTGGTGAATGCATATGTTTTGAGCATTTACGTGACGTGAATTAGGGTTGTTTTTTAAGATTATGCATAAATGTAAGATGGAATACTCAAATTCACACATTGACGGGTTATACTGAGCTAGATTTTGCAACAGTAAACGTTGATTAATATTCGTAATGATAAGCTCTAATGATCAAAACTCTAAGCGCTTTCAGTGATGTCTGTTTAATCATCTCTGTTATTGGCATGTTTCTACTTTAGGCTGGAAGTGTGTAAAATTGTTTCAAGAAGAAAACCTTGACACCGCAGTGAAGGACAACCCCATGAGCGAAGGATGGATATTGCCTACGTGTGTGAGTGGGAGAAGAGGCCTAAAAGCAATCACTGCCCCTCTATCCCTCTTGTGTGCGCCTGGTCCTGCAGAAACCTCCTCGCCTTCACTACTGACCTCAAAAATGAGGAAGAAGAAAAGGGTAAGCAGGCTAGCCCTGTCAGAAATATAACCGATTCGCCCTGAAGCCAACCTAAACTGTACAGAATTGCAGGTCTTGCTTTCTCATCACTTCTTAATCGACTGTGAGACCTGGATCTTGTCCTCTGCTTGTGTTGAACTGTTTTGTTAAGTAAATCTGTGTTTTGCATGTTTTTCACACTGTGTTCAAAGGCTTCGGCAAAACTCTTACTTCATGACAGCATCTCCTACGGTCTTTGTTTAAGCCGTGGGTTTGTGAGACAGCTGAGAAAGCCGTTTCTGCCCCTGTGCAGAGTAAGTTAACGAGATCTGTTTTTCAGACCTGACCCACATGATTCACATCATTGACTCCGAGCATCCATGGGACGTTTATTCGATCAATTCGGGACACACTGAGGTCATTTCCTGTCTGGAATGGGATCAGTCAGGTAAGTCTGTAGGTTGCAGCCCTAAAAAAGTAGCTGATGCAGGTGGGCTAAATTGAAAATGATTTGCTCATTACGTCAAGATTTAAAATGTCCCTGGAAAACTCTCACATGTGGCTTAGGAGTTGCTAAGATGTGTTGTCAGACAGAAGGTTTGTTACTGATGTCAAATGTCATGATTACGTCTTGTCTGCAAAAAACAAAAGTCTACATTACAGTTGATATGATAACACACTTTAATCTTTTAACCAAAACGTACAAAGTTTGCCTTAATTGCGGATGAGTGGATCAGATGATCTTTGAGGTGTCTCTTATTATGGGATTGTTTTGTGATGGTAGCCGAGTGTAATGAGCGAGCTATGTCCATGTGGCTGCGGCTGTGCAGGCTCCCGGTTGTTGTCGGCTGATGGGGACGGGCAGATCAAGTGCTGGGCGATGACAGAACACCTGGTGAACAGCTGGGAGAGCACGCTGGGTAGCGCCGTGGAGGGCGACCCCATTGTAGCCCTGTCTTGGCTGCACAACGGAGTCAAGCTGGCACTGCACGTGGAGAAGGTAAGATGGCAGCTTAATTCTCCCATTCCTGTGTATTGTACTTGAATTACTGAAAAATCAAAATCTAAACCATTGTGTTCTTGACGGAATCATTGCCCACAAAAGGTTTCCTTTGTGGTGAGACTACACGGACGCAGGTGGAAATCCTCAGGAAATACAAAGATGCCAGCCAGGAACGGGCACACACATGTTTTAAACGAAGTCTGAAGCAGGTTAGGCGATACGATCTGGTCATCAGATGATCATGTAAAACAATTCTCAGATGATGCTGGAGTCCAATCCTGGGCCTTGCCGTGGTTGCCGCGCTGAGAACCTCTTTGGCGTAGGAGACAGTGTAGCATCTCGCTGAGGAAGGGAGGCCGATGCCAGGGGCTGCTTCGCTGTGGATATCAATGCAGATTCCAAAGTTTTATTTTCATGGACCGGATGACTAAACCACCTCGCTTCCCACAGTCGGGCTCCACGAACTTCGGGGAGAAGTTCTCCCGGGTGAAGTTCTCCCCCTCGCTGACGCTGTTCGGCGGGAAGCCCATGGAGGGCTGGATGGCGGTGACGGTGAGCGGCCTGGTGACGGTGTCGCTGCTCAAGCCCAACGGCGCGCTGCTGACCGCCAGCGAGAGCCTGTGCCGGCTGCGGGGCCGCGTGGCGCTGGCCGACATCGCCTTCACGGGCGGGGGCAACATCGTGGTGGCGGCCACGGACGGCAGCAGCTCGGCGCCGGTCCAGTTCTACAAGGTGTGCGTGAGCGTGGTGAACGAGAAGTGCCGCATCGACACCGAGCTGCTGCCCTCCCTCTTCATGCGCTGCACCACCGACCCCGCGCGCAAGGACAAGTACCCTGCCGTCACCCACCTGAAGTTCCTGACCAGGGAGAACTCTGAGCAGGTGAGCGCGGCCGCCGGAGCTTTCTTTACAGCTCGGGTTTGTGTCAGAGCCGCTATTAATTGTTCTTTCGTTTTATCCGTCTGTCCTAAGATAAGATAAGATCACTTTATTGGCCCTATACAATTTCTTGCATTAGGAATTTGTCTTTTCGCAGACCCCAGCTTGCTCTCCATGAGACACACAGACCGGGAGAGAAGCTTGGGGTCAGAGCGCAGGGTCGGCCATTTATACGGCGCCCCTGGAGCAGTTGGGGTTAAGGGCCTTGCTCAGGGGCCCAACAGAGTAGGATTCCTCTGCGGGATACGAACCAGCAACCTTCCAGCCACAGGCACAGATTCCTGGTCACAGAGCCACCACACCTCCCTCAGCTACTGATCTTCATTTTATCTTCTAATTTTCGTTCCAAGCTGGCCTCTTAAATACTTCGTTCCACTCAGTTGTTCACTTAATTGGTGCCTAGTCAGGATCCATACCGTCTGTTTTCTAACGGCTTCACCTGATTCCCTGGTGAGCCTCAGTCCTGCAGATCTTGTAGGTACACTTTATCTCTACAGGCCTGGAACAATTTTACTGCTAGTAGTTAAAGAGGTGTGGGTTCAATTGAGTAACTTAGAGCTCATTGAGAACAAAAATCAGAATCCTTCAGACTCTGGGGTCCTCACTGAACACCCATCCATCCGTTTCTATCAGCTTTTTCCAATTCAGGGTCATGGGGGAGTCTTGGTTAGCAACTGGCGCAAGGATGGGTACAGCCTGGATGGGACGCCAGTCACACACAGACACACAAACACTCGCACCAGGGCCAGTTTTCCTAGAAGCCAGTTAGCCTACCTGTATGTTTTTGGACTGTGTGAGGAAACCCATGTTTGACACTCCTTGGTCTTTCAGGTGCTGTTGTGTGCATCCAGCCAGCTGGGCAGCATTGTGGAGTGCTGGTCACTACGCAAAGAGGGGCTTCCTGTCAACAACATTTTCCAGCACCGCTCTCCTGTCGGTAGGTCAGACCATTTGTGTTCTCTTTCTTTGCCATGTGAAGTTAGGGAGCTCTTCGGCAATGTGTCCTATAAGCCTTTCTCAATTATTCCACTGCATACAATGGGTTTTTATAGCCCATTATCAGCTAGTTAAACACTGGTTGTCTATTAAAGAAGTCCTTGACTATCTAAAGTATTTAGCTGAAGGTATATTTGTGGTATTTGTCTTTGTGAATATAGAAAATATAGGAAAATGTGTGAACAGTGCACCGTGGTAAATTTTCTGAATAGAATCCCGTTCCTTCATTCCGTTTGAAAATGGTCATTTAACAGAACGGAACCCTTTTCTTCCTCTATCCCGCAGTGGGAGAGAAGCAGCCCATGATCCTCAAGTGGCGTATCCTGTCTGCCACCAACGACCTGGACCGTGTCTCTGCAGTGGCGCTGCCTAAACTGCCCATCTCCATCTCCAACACCGACCTCAAGGTGGCCAGCGACACGAAGTTCTGCCCTGGCCTCGGTACGGACATGGCTCGCTGCGTTGGGTTCTGAAACTCCCGATGTCGGTTATCAATTCAACGTGCCCACAAATTTCATTTTTCAGTTTTGTTTAACTTAGGTGCAATTAGGTGTAATTAGAAGAATTTTGAAAAAGATGCACTGTAATCTGGTGGGTTTTTTTAGGTTCCTCGCAGAAATTCCATTCTTGCACGACTAATGTACATGCACATAAAGCTGCAGGACCTGTTTTTGCGAATCTCGCGTTGTGTCTGGCCGAGCAGGTCTGGCGCTGGCCTTCCACGACGGCAGCATTCACATCCTGCACCGGCTGTCACTCCACACCATGGGCGTCTTCTACGGCTCCTCCTCCAGCAACCCCCAGCGCGTCGGCGAGGAACCCGCCCTCAAGCGGCAGCGCGGGGGCGGCCCCACCACGCACTTCAAGGCCCTGCAGTTCTCCTGCACGTCGCTGGCGCTGGTGGGCGTGGACAACCATGGCAAGGTGCGCTCGGGCAGCAGTGCCTTCTGCAGGCGGCACGGTGGCGCAGGGGCCAGCATGGCTGCCTCACAGCGCTGGGGCCCCGGGTTCGATTCCAGACCTGGGGTGCTGTCTGTGTGGAGTTTGTATGTTGTCCCCGTGTCCGTGTGGGTTTCCTCCCACAGGCATACTGGTAGGTTAATGGGCATGTGTGTTTGTGTCTGTGTGTGCCCTGTGATGGGCTGGCATCCCATCTAGAGGGTACTCTGCTTTGTGCCTGTTGCTTGCAGGCATAGGCTCCAGCTCCCCCACAACCCTGAAATGGATGAAGTGGTTAGGAAATTGATGACTGACCAGCACTTTCATGCAGCATTCATCCTGGAATGATTAGCCCCCAACAAGCATGTGGTTTGAACACAATGTTTAATTTGAATCTGCAACTGGACCTTGCCTTTATAGCAGAACAACTCAAGTGCTTGATGAAGCCCAGATAAATCACTGACAGCACTGGAAATATAGCCATTTGGGGGGTGAAATACAGTAGAATTTAGTGGCTACATAGCCCCAGCCTGATTTGATGTAAGAAAAGCTTGAAACGGCTAGTGAGTCAGGAAGTGGGGTTTAAATGTACTGGGCATCAAAAGAAATTCATCACTATTTATACGTTTATCTCTGTAATATAATGAAGAGCATGGATTTATAAACATGCTACCAGCCTGTGAATTTCACAGTAGACACCTGTTGACTGCAAAATGTTCATTAGAATAATTTACCCATCTAGTGTGTTGAATAAAATGTCAATGCAGCTGCTTCAACAAGATTGTAGTTTTCCCGATAACAGTTTTAGAATTTGTTGCAGTTAAGTGGTTTCTTTTTATGCTCAGTTGTTATTGTAACACATGCAGTATATGGCTATCCTGATGTTGTGCTTGTCTGATTGACATTATTTCTGTGTGGTTGTCATGGGTTTTATAAGCTCTTCCTTGCTGAGGAGCTGTGACTCCCCTCTCTATATTTCAGCTGCACATGCTACGGGTGTCCCCGTCCATGGGCCAGATGCTGGACATAAACACCCTGCTGCGCCACCTCTTGTTCCTGCTGGAGTACTGCATGGTGACGGGCTATGACTGGTGGGATGTGCTGCTCCACGTGCAGCCCAACATGGTGCACAATCTGGTGGAGAAGCTGCACGAGGAGTACATGAGGCAGAACCAGGCCCTGCAGCAGGTGAGAGGTCATCCCCCTTCTGCAGAGACTCTGCACACCCCGGTTCTTACTGCCTAATTTAACAGTGCTTGCCTTCAAGCTCATTCATTTGTCAGGGTGACTGTGCCTTTACAACTTCAAATACCATCTCATCTGTCAGCATTTAAATACAGTTACGTGCAGCTCGAGCCTAAATGTGTACGCTGAGGAACGCTTGGCTTCTCATTGACAAGTCAGCTGAAGACCTTTAGTACAATGAAAACTGCACAGAACATTAGTTCTAATGAATCTGCATGGATTTCATACTGTGGTCTCTGTAATTGCATTGCATTCAAGCATCTGTCAGTCCTTTGTTTCTTAGCATATCTAGAATAATATTTGCTTGTATCTTAGTGTTGAATTCCACTATGTCATGACTGATCCTTTCAGTTATGCTTTGGAGCTGTATGACAAGATGTGATCATGTGCTGTCTTGTGCTCTCCATGGCTGTCTTGATATGTTTGCATGCCTTGTAAGGTTGTTTTATTCTGCCAGATAGTCATGATTAGCACATCCCAAAGCGCAGTACGTTCCGGTTGTGGTTCCTCAGGTGCTGTCTACGCGAGTTGTGGCCATGAAGGCGTCCCTGTGTAAACTGTCCTCCGCCACGGCGCCCAGGGCCTGCGACTTCCACGCCAAGCTCTTGCTCATTGCCATCAGCTCCACCCTCAAGTCTCTGCTGAGACCTCACCTCCTCAACACCCCTGACAAGAGCCCTGGGGACCGGCTGGCTGAGATCTGTGCCAAGAACACCGACACGGGTGAGGCCCCGAGCTTCTCCCTTGTGCTTGTCTGGGTGCAGCGAACGTCTCGGCTTTGACATCTCTCCCCATGCGTGTGTCGTTAGACATCGACAAGGTGATGATCAATCTGAAGACGGAGGAGTTCGTGCTGGACGCTTCTACCCTGCAGTCGCTCCAGCAGCTCATCCAGTGGGTGGGAGATTTTGTGCTCTACCTGCTCGCCAACTTGCCCAATCAGGTGATTTCATCCACCCACGCAGATAAGCACTTTTCCTAACATTTTAGCAGTTCAGCACATTTATTCAAAAACCGGTAGTCCCTTGCTACCTAGTGCCTTGATATGTGTTCCAGGCAAACCTGTTTGGTTCCTTTAGCTTAGTTCAAGCTGGTGAGTTAGTGCTCGTTCAGTTTCTGCAATTAACCAATTAGTATCCCATGTCTTTTACCACTGATGTGTTTAATCATAATAAGGAAGCTTCACGGGAAAATAATGGAGTGCTTTGCCTGTGAAAGCTTAATGACAACAGCCCAGCTACTTCTCACAGTAATGTACTCCCAGCTAAGGTGTTTTTGGCAGCCAAGCACTTGCAGTGGATCCCAACTGTCCTTCTCCCATCCGTCCTCCTGCTCCAGGGATCCATTGTCCGCCCTGGTTTCGGGTTTCTGCGGGACGGGGCCTCTCTGGGGTTGCTGCGTGAGATGATGGTGGTGATCCGGATCTGGGGCCTGCTGAAGCCTGGCTGCCTGCCGATATACACCGCCACCTCCGACAACCAGGACAGCATGTTCCTGCTCTTCCGCCTTCTCACCAAGCTCTGGCTCTGCTGTATGAGTTGTGCTCCTTCTCAGAAGTCTAAACTTCCTTCTAGCCCATTTGATTAAGAAACCCAGACAAGCTACTTGCCTGCAAGCGCTCTGACGTCCTGAAGTAAGTCAGGATGATTTGTGTGTTTCCTGCCTGGCAGCTCGAGATGAGAGCCACCCACAGGAGCCGGACGAACCTCTGATCGACGAGTGCTGCCTGCTACCCAGCCAGCTGCTGGTGCCCGCTATGGACTGGCTTCCTGTCAGCGATGGCATCATCTGCAAGCTGCAGGGCAAGCACCCCCTGCGCCTGCAGTTCGGGAAGCCCTACAGCTTGCCAGGGCTCAACTCGGGCACGCAAGTGGAGATTTTCACGAGGTAAGATCGCGCTATTAAAAAAAAAATACTGGTTTTCGCGCAAGAGCAATAAAAATGAATATCGTTGTACTTTTTTTTTCCCTTTCCATTCACCGAAACTGCTCTATGCTAGTTAAGTCTAACTTCCATCTCCGGAGATGGAGAAAGAATTATCATTATAGTGAATTATCATTTTAAATGTAAAAGCTTCTTAAGCGCGAAATTCCTGGTATACTGTATCCTTCTATTCCTTTGCAAAACCCTGATCGGTTTTCTGTTGGCAGGACCCCTGGATCACAAAGGATGGATAATCTGCGCTGCCTGCACATGGGCGTGTGTCCCACGGAAGACAGCAAGGCCTGCACCAGGTAAAGGGCTCCTCAGCCAGAGGGGCTGACATCCAGCTCCCTTCCTGTGCAGTCAACTCCGCAGTCAGATTTGTACACAGCCATCTTTTGATCAAAGATGTCCTGGCCAGATTTCCCCCTGGTCTTTACCAGTCATCTCCATCTTTGAACTGGCTTCATCACTCTGCTCTCCTCCCCACTGATGATAGCTGATGTGTGGCGAGTGAGTGATTTGGCTGCCGTCGCATCATCCAGGTGGGGCTGCACACTGGTGGTGGAGGGGATCCCCATTACCTGTAAAGAGCTTTGAGTGGAGTGTCCAGGAAGGTGCCTTAAGTGTATTATTATGTACAGAAACGCATTGCTGCGTCTAAGGGGACATTTTTTTTGCCCCCTTATCTTGTAATTAAGGACTTTACAGCTGAAATGTTGCGTTACTTTTTTTCTCTTTTCAGCATGGAATAAATAAAGAGGAAAAAAATGTAACACAACATTCCGGCTGTGAAGCCCTCACAACCAAAACGTTGTGTTTCTTTTCTTCTCTTTTCAGCATGGAATAAACCTTTAACGTATTCCTTTGCAGCCTACGCGTGCTGACGTAGCTCCCTACTTGATATAGGTATTATGCGACAATTGTGCTATCGCGTGAGCACATAAAGTAGGCGAGAATCACTAAGTCATAATTACGAGAGAATTTTCTTGGAATTATGAGAGAATTATCTCGTAATTATGAGACAAGGATGTGAGGGTTTTTTTTTCTCCTTGGTGGCAGCGATGCGCTTCTGTAATTATGTGCATTTTACAGATAATAATAATAATAATAATAATAATAGTCCAGTTAATAAGAATAAATGAGCCAAGAGAGTTGGAGAGTATAACACTGACTGGAAGGCTCCATACTTGACCTCTTGTAGCCACGTCGTGCTGGAGTCCTTGCCCTGGCCGTGGGCACCGCGGCTCTCTCCCTCTCTCGGTCACGCCGCGCTCCGCCGTGGGCGGGCTCACGATGCCGCCGTGCTCTGCCCTGCAGGTGCGGCTGCGTCACCATGCTGCGGTCTCCCAACAAGACCACGGCCGTGAAGCAGTGGGAGCAGCGCTGGATCAAGAACTGCCTGTGTGGGGGGCTGTGGAGGAGGATCCCCACCACGATCTCCTGAGAGCGCTGAGCCGCCACGCTCATTTTGAGCCGAAGAGGGACTGGAGGGGAGGTTCATACCACCACAGACCCTAGCCAACCCCCTTGCCTAAATGCTCGGTGATGTGCTTTCTCTATGAGTGGATGATCTCTGAATTCTCCAGTAGAGGTTGTATGTGGGTGAATGGGCGCAGCTCTCTTTGTGAAAGTTATAAATGGTAGTGAAAAGAAAACAAATCCTTACATCCGTAATCTAAAAAAAAAATCATCTTTCGTTCTGCATTTTGGGGGGCCTTCGGGATGAGACCCCTTCAGGCTACACACTCCTTTTCAAAGTCAATGAAACCTCATAGCACGTCGCCTCTCTACAGAGGACACCTGGCTCCAAAGCCTGACAACTTGTATCAAACTGAACCAGCAATTCTCTGTATTGAAGAAGTACCAGGGATTGTTACTAATGTGATCATGTGATTCTTTTGTAAATAAAACTCTTGTCTTTTTTTTTTCTATAAACCTCTCTCCAGTATGTTCATTTCTCATAATGAAATTTTCATCTTTGCAATTACAACAAGTCACCACTGTGTGGCAGGAGATATCTCTTGAGGGCAGCAGAGCTTGGCCATGGTATGGACTCCCATGAAAATAGGTAGACTGTCTTAGGGAAGTTCAATTTTATTTTGAAAATCTGAAATTTAATCTGGCAAAATGTATTTTGTTTGATTGTTTACCCAAGAATCAACTAATATGCAGCATGCATTTCTCCTTAATTATGTACAGTATTTGCATATTGGAGGAAAAAAGGTCTCATGGTCTTTCAAGCAAAGCCATCCATCATCATGGAGGTGTTTTGTTTGTGGCTTCAAGGGTCTTCCCAGGCTGCTATGGTTTCCTCCCACTTCCTCAGACAGGCTGGTTGGGTTAAATGGTAACATTCTTCTCGAGTAAGAAGAAATCAAAGAGCTCCAGGCAGGCCAGACTATTTGAGAATAATTGCTGAGTAAAATTAATGTGTAAACAAAGGGCTGCAGTGTTAGTTAAGGTTGATCTATGTGCCTAAGGGGATGGATTAATCCCTGGTATTTGATAAAATCACTGTCCCTCATTCTTCATACTAACACCTCCCTTATCTCTACCTCATCCTAACACTGGGAACTCCCCTATTTGAGCATGATAGATCTTTAACACTGATTGCACCTGCTGTAATGCTAGCATGCTTGGTATTGCTTACCAAATGAATGCAGTTGAGATAAGTAGTTCATATTATTGCTTAAAAGTAAGTTGACCCTTGGTTGCATGGGAAGTGAATCTCTATTGTGCATGGAAGACAATTAATATCTATGTCCCTATCTTTATAACAGAACACTTTACAAAAATTTCTGTGAGAAATTAAAAATCAGTTTGTACCACTAGCCATACCTATTATTTTAAGAGTACTCATTTCCCTACTTTTATTTCTTAATTGTCATTTTGCTAGCTGTGAGTTGGCAGCTATCTTACGTGGCAACTGGTACGTGCATTAAAATGTATTTTATTGTCACCATGCCATTCAGTTTACTTACAACTGAAACACACTCAAGTTTTACCAGGGATGAAGACTGATTTCTGGTCAAGAGAAATCTTTTGCGCTTAACATTTAAGAATTTTCCCCATGGTGCATCACACACTGCTTTCATTGTATAATGTAGACTCCTATCAATTCAGTCAACTGATTTTGGAATCTAATGTTATTTGTCTGAAATTATTGGTTATCGGTAGACATTATAAAACGGCATTTGCAATTGGATATCTAAACGTCTTGGTGTCTTAGGTAGACCTCATATTCCTGTTCTTCTAACACCTGTTTTACATCATTTATTTTATTTTGACTCCTTTTCTTCCTTTCCAGCGCCATTCAATTATTTCCCTGGGTCTGTTTTACAATGGAAAACAACCTCTAATTTTTCCCATGCCAGATCTCTATCCATTTCTGTAACAAGTACAGTATAACAAGTTTATTTTTATTTCTTTGCTTATGAGTTTATCTTTCATGTTTAACATAGTTCTGCAGTAAACCCAGGCTATAATGGACTTTGAATTTGAAGAACAAAATTTGCTTAAGGGGAATTTTATCTGTACTGTCATGCAATAATGAAGACTGTGTAAGGCAATTGGTACAAGGGAAAGCAAATTGCTTATGATGGGTGTTGTTTGTGTTTCATATGCTTTAGAGAATTTTTAAAAAACAATAATATTTAAAAATACACTCAATTTACTTAAAATTGGCCCTGGTGTGAGTGTATGTTTCCCTGGTATCCCATCAAGGGTGTGTCCTGCTTGCACCTGTTGTGCTGGGCTAGGCTCCAGCTCCCCACGATCCCTGATGGGATAAACTTTAAAGGGTAGATAAATGTTCATTGCCACCTGGGTATAGGATGTACTTTTAGCATTATTAACCAATAATTCTAGAAATATAATCCTTCGGGTTATCATTCACCACATACTTCACTATTCTTTTGAAAATAATACAGTAAAATGCTGAAATATATTTTTTGTGTTGTGGGAAATTCAACATGGTTGTGTTGAGCAAGAGATCGTTGAGCTCCACTGAGCTCAAAACACACACCAGCACGTCGTCGGGTCGGCCCCCACTGAACGGACAACCTGCTCAAGTTGCAGTGCAGCCTCGTGTAGTACGTGACATTTTGGTCTGTTTCGGGCTCGGGTGGTGATCGTTCTGTTCTTTGAAGTTGATCACTTCTTAACAAGCTCGTTATAAGAACAATCCAACCCATTACTGTTGTCTTTACAAAGCCAGTTCTTATCGCACTTCAGAGCTTGAGGCCGTTTGAGGACCGACACGTAGCTGCATTGCAAAATTAACATATCCCAACAATCATTCTTACATTCCACAGCGTGATTAAGTACTAACACTGTAACCTTGAAAATTGAATTGAATGTATCCCATTTCACTTTGCAAGAATACGTTTACGAAAACTATTTAGGAAGTTGATTCAGTGTTACATGCGTCTCGCTAAGATTTATCATTCGTAAAATGCAGGAATACTGTAAATGCGAGTTAAAGTGCTTCTGGGAATAGCATCACCTGTGAACTGCCTGGGGGGATAATGAGCCAGAGTACTGACACATCTGACCTGTTACTGTACGTGAAAAGCACAGGTCGTAGTTAGCGTATTTTCTGTCTTAACTGGAAAACAGCATTTTGCCAAGTGGTGCCACGAGAAAAAAGAAACACAACAACCGAGCCCTGATGCATTTTCAGTAAAAACCTGGAAATCAGACATTTTCAATATAAGGGCCGTCGATAAAAACTCGTTTTTTTTAAAAGACGCAAACACATTCCCTCAATCATGGTGACACAATGAAAAGGGAAAAACGTTACATTACGATAATTTTCATTCCATATTGTGAAGTTTCCCAAATCAGCAGGTGCAAAACTCGGTTCATCAAAACACTCGTTTACTTTAAAAGGTAAGTAGTTGCATTTTGTGCGCATCTAACATACATACAAACGTCTCAGCTCGCAGTGAGCAAGTCTAGTTCTAAAGCAGAGCTAAATGATGTGCACACAGCTAATTGTATTTTTGTGAAGAGCAGTGCAATTTCAGTGGCTCTGTGTCTTCTGGTATTGAAAGTAATTGCAGGCCTAAGGTAACTACAGTAATTCTACTATTTTAACACTTGAACACTAGTAGTACAACTATACAAGCATTATGCACGAATACATAGCATGAGTACATTTGTGGAATTCTTTTGTACTGTATAATGAGGGGGACCTGGAGCACATTATCCCTGCATTCTAATGGGAAATTCAAATTTAATTTATGTACCTGATGTATGCAACATTTTCTCAGGAACATCTTATCTGTGTAAATTGAGAACTACAGTACGTGAATATGTTGTTCAGTTTCTTGTTCAATGCTTTCCAGTGTGGACTGGTTCAATGTGGCCAATAAAGGTGGGAGCTGGTCTGGTGATACACATGTATCTAGAAAAGGGAAACTGATTATTGAAGTGAAATTCAACTCAATAAATAGCTCAGAGAAAATAAAACACTATCACAGGCAACATTGCTTTTATGTGAAAGTCAACCACTTCCAAACAACTGATGTATTTTTAGTTTTGAAACATAGCCCAGCCTTTGGTTGTAAGTTCCTGTACACTGATTATCAGGACGTTAGAAAGGCACCTGCAAAATTCACTTTCCTGAACTCAGTAGTTCATTGTGTTATCATTGTGCTGTGTTATGATGTGACTCCAGTTGCAGTGGCCATAGATGGTTCAACTATCAGCTTCCAGTTCTACAGACAAGGGGAGAAATCTTCCAAATTTGAAACTCTCTAGCATTTCATCTTCAGACCTTTGTTGTGAATAAGGCTTTTTCCTAAAGTTTATTCTCTTTCTGTAAGACTTTCCCCAATCATATCTGGAATATTTTACAGCACTGTTAATTTCTCTCCATTATTATAATACAGGCATCTTTTGTGACCCCATGGGCTCCATCTGGAACCCATCTCATGCAATGGTTTTGATTGGATTCAGTACCGAGGGATCTGATACAGTAATTATTGGAAGATCAAAAACAGGTGAGAATTCGGTTTGAATTTTTTGTTAGTTCCTGTGAAAGTATATATAAGCAATGCGATTTTGCGATTGTAGGGAGAAAAAACTAACAAGTGTAGGTATCTGTTTCTTCTGTCTCTCCATCTTAATATTATTGCTTGATGGATCAGGTTTCAGCAGTAATAAGTTGTTTCAATTTCAGTGCATTGCATCAGTTTTGAGACCTGAAAACACAAACTTTGGTCTGCAATGAAAAAAATAGGAACTGCTTTGAACTGAGCTTGAGTTATGCAATGTGTGTGAAAGATTGGTGTCAGGAGATAATAAATAGTCTAATGGGGAATAGGAATAGGCTTCAAATATCCTACAACCCGAGACAGCCTCAATGTGTGTTTTCTTGTGATCAATGAAAATCCAATGCAGTTACTCCACAGAGTACAGTATCTGTGCTTCAATTATACTGTCTCTCAAAAGTCTGATAATACAAAATAAAATAGGGGAGGTGTCCCTGCATGGTGTATTAATATTAGCTTTATCCTGACCAGTTTAAGACTATTATCCAGAAGGAAAACTGACCAAGTTGTTTCCCTGGGACAATGAGATAATGGAATAATGAGGACATACATTACTATAATCATTTACAACTCTTCAAGAAGCAACTGCTTATGCTGAGGTGTTGTAACAGTGCAGATGCCAGAGGGTTGAGGTGCGACACTCCAAAAGCAGGAGAATCCAACATTCTCACAAGGAAATCAAGGAATCACCTGCACCAGTGAACGTTGTGTGACTGTAAAAAAACATTGTGCAGACAGGCGTTGTCTCAGACCTTCAAATGTTTTTTGGATGGTGTGATCGGAATCTCGGGGGGAGTCTCTTGGCAAAAGATATAGGAGAAAATATTCCAATCTGGACCAAAACAAAACTTTATTCTTACCTTATTTTAGCAGCAGACC